GACTCTGTTCCTTGGTCTCATGATTGAATTTCTTGTTAAGAATGAATCATTTCATCTTTGACATCAGGCATCTCTTTGAGCAAGCTGGCCGAACACTGAAAACCAAATACAACAGAGGTCAACTATTCATTATGAAGAATGTAATCAATCATAATCATATGCCAATTGCTGGAGAGCAATTCAATTTTTGCTATCAGTTACTGTTGACAGCTATGCTATCAAATCTCCTATGATAGAGTCTTACCTGACTTAGATCTTGCTATTTCTATATATTTACTGCTTCAAGCTGACTCCCAAAATTCCATTGTATTAATTTTTAAAATTAAAATTGACAATTGCCCTAACACAGTGACAGAATACTGCTGCTGAATGCCATGGAATTCCTCATTAATATTCATTTATAGTTTATAAGAGGAGTGGTTTAACAATTGAGCAACACACATACAATTCAAATATTGATTAACTAATCCATAAATCTGTGATCATAAAAGAATTGCTTTTAACTGCCTATGTTTGATTTTATGTTCTTAGCGTTTTCAAAATTCATATTTCAGTAATAACATCTAATGTGCTTTTTCTGGTATGGTTATTAGAATATGTATTTCAATTTTACAATCAGCATAATTTTTTTTTAGGTTGCCAGGAATGACAACCTAATTTTCCAGTGAGATCTTTACATAAAGGCTTACTAACCCTGATATGCATATTATCATCATTAACCATAATTTACTGAATATATTTTAATAACTTAAACTGAACAAAGAATCTGATTTTTTTTTTACCCCAAATTAGTATGACACTTGGTTTGAATTGTTTTTCTTGATTGTGGCAATTAATTTCTTCTGTTTAAACTATAAACACATATGTTATGTTGTAACATTAGATGAACATGTGCCCACCAAAGAGTAAACAATCACCATCCTAACTGGATGTCTGTATAAATTAAAAAAAAACACACACACACACAAAACACCTTAGCTCTGACTGGTTTGGCTCAGTGAATAGAGCCTAGGCCTGTGACTGAAGGGTACCGGGTTCAATTTCCGTCAAGGGCATGTACCTTGGTTGTGGGCACATCTCCAGTGGAAGATGTGCAGGAGGCAGCTGATAGATGTTTTTCTCTCATTGATGTTTCTGACACTCTCTCCCTCTCCTTTCCTCTCTGTAAAAAATCAATAAAATATATTTTTAAAAAATCTTCATTTTTATTTAAAAAAAGTTTATTTGTTAATCAACAAATATTTATTGAATTCATAAGGCATACTAATTTCTGCTGTGGGATATATAAATGAATAACACTGTTCTTTATGGTATCTACACTAATAAAAGAGAAATATGCAAAATAGCCATCACTGCTATATCCATCAGCCAATCAGGAGGGAATATGCAAATTAGAAGGAAAAAGCGCTGCCTAGCTGCTTTAGGCGCTGAGTGGCCGGGCCAGATGGGGCAGGACGCCTGCTATGAGAGGGAGGGTGGGGGCAAAGGGATCTATAGGAGCGGCACTCTGGTCCCAGCAAAGACAAAGATGGTAGTTTGCAAAGAAGACCAAGACATGGCAGATTCCAGCCAGGGTCTGCAGCGAAGTTAAAGACAGCAGACTCCAGCCTGAATCTGTAGCGAAGATGGCAGACTCCAGTGGGAGTCTGCTGCAGAGATGAAGAAGCAGACTCCATCAGGAGCGAAGGCCTGGATCCCAGGTGCTGGAGGAAAACCAGTGCCGGAAGCCAAGGGAAGGAAGGCCTATTGCATGAATCTCTTCATGAAACGGGCGTCTAGTCTTATTATAAGCGAGGACATTGATGAGGAATGTATGCAAAAACCACATACAAATTCCACTTCTTATTTACTTTTCCATAAACTCTCTAGGTTTGTGAGAATGAGAGAGAGAGAGAAAGCCCAAAATTATTGCAGAAATTAAGTTTCTCTTTGGGACCTGTCATATTTGGATATACACTCACTGAAAAACACATGTGATAAAGCCAGTACAAGAGAACACAAAATTTTAGTGTTCTGGAGGACCATTAGAACATTGATTACCAGGCCTTATCCTCAAAGTTTCTGATGCAGTGGGTCTAGAGTAGGGCCTTAGAATTTGCTTTTCTGATAAGTTTCCTGGTAATGCTGATATTCCTGGTCCAGGAACCACACTTAGAAAAAACACTGGATTTTTAGCAAAAATTACATAAAGCATTTCCTTTCTTTTAGAAAGATGAATTTGCCTTTATTGATTTCACAGAGAGGAAGGCAGAGGGAGAGAGAGATAGATACATCAATGATAAAAGAGAACCATTGAATGGCCACTTCTTACAAGCCTCCTTCTGGGGATGGAGCCCCAATCTAGGCATGCACCCCAACTGGGAATTGAACCATAACCTACTGGTTCATAGGTCTATGCTCAATCACTGAGCAACATCAGCCAGGCCATTTCTTCATTTTTAAAGCATTTCTTTCCTCCCCTGCCCCCTCTCTTTTTTCCCTATCTCTCCTACAAAATTAATATCCAGAAATTTGTTGTACTTTTATACACCAATAATGAACTATCAGAAAGATTAATTAATAAAGCAATCCCATTTACAATTGTACTAGAAAAAATAAAATACCTAGTAATAAATTTAACCAAGGAGGTAAAATACCTGTATAAGACACTGACGAAAGAAAGTGAAGATAAAATAAATGGAAGCATATATCACGTTCATGGTTAGGAAGAATAATATTATTAAAATGTCCATACCGCCGGGACCGGTTTGGCTCAGTGGATAGAGCATCGGCCTGGGGACTGAAAGGTCCCGGGTTCGGTCATGGGCATGTACCTTGGTTGCAGGCGCATCCACAGTAGGGGGTGTGCAAGAGGCAGCTGATCGATGATTCTCTCATCGATGTTTCTAACTCTCTATCCCTCTCTCTTCCTCTCTGTGAAAAATCAATAAAATATATTTAAAAAAATGTCCATATCATCCAAAAACACTCTATAGATTTAATGCAATCTCTAATTAAAATATCAAAGACTTCTTTTTTTTTTTTTTTTTTTTTTTTTTACAGAAGTAGAACAAATGATTCTAAAATTTATATGGAACCACAGAAGACCCTGATAGCCAAAGCAATACTGAGAAAGAAGAACCTGATATCAATCTATACTATAAGGCTATGTTAATTAAGACATCATGGTACTGGCATAAAAGCAGACACATGCATCACAAGAGGTTCAGAGAGTTTATTCTGACTCCAATTTTAAAATACTTATTTTTAAAAAAATATATTTATATTAATTTCAGAGAAGACAGAGGGAGGAAGTTATAGAAAAATGAATGATGAGAGAGAATCATTGATTAGCTGCCTCCTGCATGCCTCCTATTGGGGATGGAGCTGGAAACCCGAGTATGCCCCCAGATTAGGAATCCAACTGTGACCTCCTAGTTCACAGGTCAGGGCTCAACCACTGGAGTCACATCAGTGAGGTCTGACCTAAATTTTAAAAAGTGAGAGGAAAAAAAAAGAATAGAAATAATGATGCTTGTCATCTAGACCTTCCTAGGAATATAGTTCTAATCTAGTTAAACTCATTTCTTTTGTGTTATTTACTCTATAGCTACCTTGTCTTTGGCCAATTTGTGGAACAATCAAGTTCTTTCTTGGTTTGGGAACTTTGTATTTACATTTTCTCCCTCGGGAATGATTTTACCCTATGTTTCACATTCTTCCAATCTTCCAATTCTTCCAATCTGGGCAATTACTTTCCAGAGCTTCCTGGGTGAAGTAGGCCTCTCTCTCCATTGCTATTTCATTGAACAGCACTTCGTTTCCTTTAGCACTAATCATGGTCCAATAACATTTTTAAAGTCCGTTGTCTCAGACACGAAATGTAGATCCTCCAATGCCTACCAAAGTACCTGACTCAAAATGTCTTCAATAAATACTTAAAAAAAAAGAAAAAAAGAAAAAAAGAGGGGGAGGTGTAGAGGGCATAAAGAGGATAAATGGTGATTGAAAAAAAAAATAAGAAAGAAAAGCATTTAGGGAAGGTGAATTAAATTTGAATGAACTTTTAGTGAATTTAAATGCCAGGCATAGGTCTCAGTGTGTTTCCTGATACTTATGTCGCAGGATTCCAGGGCAAAAGAAATAGGGAAACTGAGACAGGGAAGTTAAACAAAGGCCAAACAGTACAGGCAATTTGCAGCCAGCTTGTAAATAACAAGCCATTATCTTCCCCAGCCAATGACATGAAAGCAAATGGTTAAAAAACCTCCCAACTGAGAGAATGCGAAAAAGGAGGGGAGAGGGGGAATAAAAAAAGGGCAGTTTTACTCCTTAAACAGTGAATCCAACAATTTTAAGGCGTGGCAAGATAAAGTTGCCAGGTGCTGGGAAGGCCACAACAAAGTAAAAAAAAAAGGAACTTTGAAAATTAATCCATACCAAATATTCAACAAAGAAATTTTAAAGCCTATAACCAAAAGGGTATACATACAGTATAACAGTTCAGATCCCCACCCAACCTGCTCTTCAAATGAGCTATAAGCCTGCCTGCATTTCGTAAACCAGATGTATCAGTTTGCTTGCTTTGCTTTTTCAATAAGGCTTTAATAAATTTGCTTTTCACAATGCATGAAGGTCTCTCACTTAAACACATTTATATGAGAAGACAAGAATGGAGATTGGGAACAGCTCTCTCCCACTGATTTAGGGGGCTGTCCCATTTACTCTGGTGTTGGGGAGAGGGGGCTGACTGTAACATACAGCTTATACTTCATAGATTCAGAATTATGAAATCCTTTTAATCCCACAAATGTGAATCCAGAACGCGAAATCTGACTGCAGTTCAGACCTGGCCCCCTCCTCTCACGCGGAGGGTTTGGCTCCGCCCCCCGGTAGCTTTGCTGGGGCCGGGCTGACAGTGGGCCCCGCAGCGCCTTCTCCGGCGCATGCGCCGCACACCGCGCACGCGCAGTCCTCGCTGCCGGTCCGGCGGCCACGGCGGAGCGGGGCGGGCTCCTGCGATGGCCGAGGGCAGCGGGGAGGCAGTCACGGTCCCCGCGTCCGGGGCCGCCAACGGCCTCAGCAATGGGGCGGGCGGCACCTCGGCGCAACCCAACAACCCGCTGTCGCGGAAGCTGCATAAGATTTTGGAGACCCGGTTGGACAATGACAAGGTAACCGGAGCTGCTGGCCGGGGACACGCCGCCCGCGGGGCCGAACCGGGACCGGCGGCCTCGGTCCGACACCCGGCCCCGCCGGGGGGACACCCGGACCTTCGCGGGGAGGGTGGCGGGGGAGGCGAGGAGCCCTGGGAAAGAAAAGACTTTCGGGGTGTTGCTCCTATTTGAAAAGGTTCGGTGATAACTCTGGATCTGGGAGGAAGACCGCGGGGTCCCTCGGTAACCTCGGAGTGGCTGGGGTCCGAGGTGGAGAGGGTAGGATGAGAAACCGATGCAAAAGAGCAAATTACAAGACAAGACAACGTGAATCGGGGTTACGAGGGCTGGGAGAACAGGGTTAGGTGTAATTGAGCATTGACAAGTTAAAACAATTAAAATGTGAAATTATATAATTTATTTTATTTCTTATTTATATTATATTGTATGTAAGCCAACGCGGAAGAACCTGCTAAGATGAAATAATATTTACTATTCTAAGTACTGCCTGTGATTTGTGGGCTCAAGCTGTATTTCTGTGCAAAATAGATTGTCCACATCCTCTCCCAAATATTTCCTGAAATTTAGATTGGACTTTCTAGCTCCATCATAGCTGGTTATCTCTGCTCTATCACTGAGTCTCTAGGTAAATTGGCTGATAATATATCACTGAGCTTTTAGAAATTTGTAGCTCCCTGAAAACAAGCTGTCAATAAGAATTTGTGTGTAAAAAATAACATCATAATATAATGAATAAGACTGTCACTATTCATTATATTTACTAGATAAAACCACCAAATTGATGCATTATGATTTAAGTGAATCCATTAACTTCTCTAAGCTTATGTCTTATTATTTCTAAATTGTGAATATCTCTAGTAACATCAGGATTGTTCTGAGGGTTCAATGAAAGAATCCAGTGAAGTGCTCAGACAAGTGCCAGGCACTTACTGTTTGTTATTAAATGTTAATTTTATCATACAATTTATTGTGTTTAAAACAGTGTCAAATATTGATATTTATTATCTCATTTAATACAGCTACTCCAATAAATTGACATTATTTCCTTTTACCCATGAGAAAAATAAGGCATGTAGAGAGTGTAAGTTACATCATATAACTAGTAATTGGTGAAGTTAAAATTTACACTCAAGTCTGTGTGATTTTGTTCATTCAACAATTACTGACTATGTCTTTGAGCCAAGCCCTAAGTCATTTCAAAATTGTAGCCTAAAGCACCCATGGACTAAGACAACAGTGTGGTGGAGGCCTGGGAGGGGGCGTGGCAAAGGGGAAAATGGGGGATATCTGTAATAGACAGCAATGACAAAAAAGGTATTTTCCTCCTCTCTCTTAAATATTAAATTGAATTTAAATAGCTTTACTATTTTTGTCAATCCAGCCAGTATTTCAAAATAACACAATAACTGAAACACGGAAGGGTAAGCCTGTTAGACTATATAGTGTGTTAGTTTGGTTGAAGGAATTAATATATGTAAGATTTAGGTTCCTGTCTTGGGCCTGGTTCTCTGTCCTCTCTCCTCTGTTCATCTCTCTCTAGAAGAACTCTCTTACTTTCATAATTTTAAATACCAAAAAGCATTATGATTCTCAAATTTATAATCCTATTTCTGACATCTCTATGGAGTTCCATACTTGTACAATCAATTGTCCATATGGCACCTCCAATTGGATACCTGACCGACATAATAAAAACTGAACACCACTAGAACTCTTTTTTTCCAAATTGGATATCTCTCTATTGTTATTAAAGAATATCATCTTTTACCCGTATAATTAAGAAGTACGTAAGTAATGTTTAATACCTGTCATTTTTTTCCACATCCCACATCTAATCCATTAGCAAGGCTTATAGGCTCTACCTTGAAAAAAAAATATCACCTGTAGTGCTACTACCATGCCAGTCTATGCCAGTGGTCGGCAAACTACAGCTCACGAGCCACATGCAGCTCTTTGGCCCCTTGATTGTGGCTCTTCCACAAAAACACCATGGCCTGAGAGAGTCTATTTTGAAGAAGTGGCGTTAGAAGAAGTTTAAGTTTAAAAAATTTGGCTCTCAAAAGAAATTTCAATTGTTGTTGTGTTGATATTTGGCTCTGTTGACCAATGAGTTTGCCGACCACTGGTCTATGCTACTATCAAATCTTGCTTGGATTATTTTCATTTTTCTCTACTTTCTGCTTTTCTTGCCCTTTCTACCACCCATCCTCATAAAGTTGGAACAAACTTTTAAATATGTAAAGCATATTACAATACTCCTGTGTTTAAAACCTCTAATAGTTTCCCATAGCTTTGGTCACATTGGCCTTTCTGCTGCTTTAGGATCTTTGTACTCATTTCCTTTGTCTGTGGAAGGCTTTGCCCCCATCATGTCTCTTTCCTATCACTCAGGCCTAAGTTTGAAAGTCATTTCAAAGAGGTCTATCTCTCTTAGTTTCTTTAATTTTGCTCCCATTTACTCAGGTCCTAGCCTGCTGGCTGCCGGTGGTATTTATTTCTTTTATATATCCTTCCAGAAAAAGATTTAAATAAACATATAAGGCTTTTCACCTTTTTAAAATGGATGTATCATAATTTCTTTAACCAGTCCCCTTTTAAATAGACATTAGAGTAATTTCTAATCTTTGCAATTACAAACAGTTCTGAAGTAAATAACCTTGTATACATGCCACAATACACAATAAGTATATACATATTATGTTTCAGAAATAATGCTGACACTGTTAGTAATGTGAAGGTTATTCAACATTTGGGGGTTGTTTAACAGAATAAATTATTTGAAAATGATTTTATTAATTTTTGGCTTGAGACTAGGAAAACATTTGAAAATTGATCCCAATAATTTTCTTCTATCATCACTTGTTTAGGAAATGTTGGAAGCTCTCAAGGCACTTTCAACCTTTTTTGTTGAAAATAGTTTGCGGACGCGAAGAAATTTACGTGGAGATATTGAACGCAGAAGTTTAGCCATCAATGAAGAATTTGTAAGCATTTTCAAGGAAGTGAAGGAAGTATGTAAAATCTTTTCATTAAGCATTTATTGAAATTTTACTATATGCCTAACTCTCTACTTTGTAGTTTGATTAATTAGGTTGGCATATTTGCTATTCATGTATCAAGTTCAAATAGAAAATTTAACTACTTACTCCAGAAGCATCTTAGTCTTTGGATTAGAGTGATTTTTGAATCTGTGACTTCCACTAATGCTAGTTCTTAAAAAGTTGTAACATTTGTTCTAGGATATTTTCTGTGGAATTTTAGTTTTTAAACAATAATAATAATAATAATAATAATAAAAAATAACATTTCTCTGAATAGTTTTCCAATAGAGATATTCACTCATTGAATAAATCTCCCTTGGATAACCACTTCCCCATTGGAGGTAATTAAAATTGAATTCCTTTAATACATTTCAAATGATGAAAATTTCAGCCCTAACCAGTTTGGCTCAGTGGATAGAGCATCGGTCTGTGGACTGAAGGATCCCAGGTTCGATTCCGGTCAAGGGCATTTACCTTGGTTGTGGGCACATCCCCAGTAGGGGGTGTGTAGGAGGCAGCTGATCAATGTTTCTCTCTCATTGATGTTTCTAACTCTATCCCTCTCCCTTCCTCTCTGTAAAAAATCAATAAAATATATTAAAAAAATAAATCATGAAAATTTCAAATTAATTAAGATGAATACTTCAATGTGTAAATAATGATTCATCTTCAGTGAGCAGTCTACTCATCATCAGGTAAAATGAATTTTATTTTTTATGGTCTGTTTTCATTATGTAGCATATTGTTAATTATGTTAATATGACATAATATTACATAATTAATATTTCTATGTGAGTGGTATGAGAGTAATAAGTTGTTTCAATGAGTACTTAATAAAAACATTTTAAACAGTTTTGTAGGTTTTCATTGAGTAAAGACTAGTAATCTGGAAGGTTAAATGGAAATAAAGTGATGTTCACCAAAATAGGAAGAACTGGTAGCAATGAGGTCATCCAGATTTTGCTTTCTAAACACCCTTTCCCACTGAAAGAAACAATATCATCAGTACCAGAAAGCAAGAAAGCTGTCTGTGATTATTGGGAAAGTATCAGAAAGACTGGAGCTACTTGAAAAGGCTTCTACTGACCAAACGTAGGACTGTGTAAGCATCAGTAAGAATAACTTAGTGACTGAAACACATCAAACATGTTTAGTCCGTGAAGTCATAATGATATTGGAAACCAAACAAAACCCTCATTAGTTATCTTTGGTGGATATAAGGGAACTAACTTATTATTTTGAAAACTTTTAAATAAAAGGCAAGAATTACTAAACATTAATCCTATCTTTTATATCAATTATATATGGTTGTTCAGGGCAAACTTTTCTTATAGAAATATTCCATCTAATAAATGAAGAAGAAATGGTAGAATTAGATTAGAAGTTATAAGCACTCTTGAATATGTAGATCTAGCTCAGGGTTTTTCAACATTCTACATTTTGCAATATAGAATGTTTAGTAGCATCTCTAGCCTCTAAACATTAGATGCCAGTAGCACGATTCCCCCCCTCCAGTTATTTCAATCAAAAAATGTTTCCAGACAATGCCAAATGCTCCTTGCAGAGCAAAACTGCTCCAGTTGAGAGCCACTGATCAAGCCTTTGTTCATCACTAGTTGCTACCCTCCCAAAAAGAGGAAAAACCATGTATGTGACTATTAATCTACCTAATAAAAGAGTAACATGCTAATTGACCATACCTGCACAATGCCCACCAGCCAACCAGGAGTGGATATGCAAATTAATCCAACGAAGACATTGGGTTAATTTGCATACACAGGCACGCCGGAGGCAGGGTGGGATGCTTGTGTGTCGCCGAGGCTATGTGGCAGGATTCTGTACCACCCCAGCTGCTCCTGGCCGCTGGGCAGTGTGGGAAGGCAGAAAGGCAGCTCTGGGCTGGAGAGAAAGGCTGCTCAGCCAGCGCAAAGGCAGTGCCGGCAGCCAAGGGAAGGAAGGCCCATTCTTGCATGAATCTTCATGCATCGGGATTCTAGTAAAGGTATACAACACCAGAATTCTTGCCAGAAAATGGAACTAGATATAATCAAGCTTCTAGATCTAACTGCTGCAGTTTATAGGAAATGTAGGCAACAGAAGAGTATATTAATGGCATGAAGACTGTCAGCAAAATCGGGAATGTTGGAAACTATATGGCAAAGTAACTGATTTCTTCAACAAATAAATTGTAAAAACACACACAAACAAGATAGAGAGAGAAAGGAAGAAAGAAAGAGAGAGGGAGGGTGGGAGGGAGGAGGAGGGCCTAGATAATTCAGTTGATTAGAGCATCTTCCTGATACGCCAGGGTTTCAGGTTTGATCCAGGGCACATATAAGAATCTACCAATGAATGAGTAAATAAGTGGAACAACAAATTGATGTTTCTCTTTCTCTCTAAGCAATAATAATAATAATAATAATAATAATAATAATAAAAGAAATATTCAATTAATTACTATTTGTGAATCTTCTTTGGTTCCTCATTTGAACAAATTGGTAAAAAATTGAGACAATTGGGGAAATTTGTTTTTTAAAATATATATTTATTGATTTTTTTTTTTACAGAGAGGAAGGGAGAGGGATAGAGAGCTAGAAACATTGATGAGAGAGAAACATGACCTTCTGCATACCCCCTACCGGGGGTGTACCCACAACCAATGTACAGGCCTTTGATCAGAATTGAACCTGGAACCTTTCAGTCTGCAGACTGACACTCTATCCACTGATTAGATATGCAAATAGCATTGTGTCTTTTTTTGAGTCCTCAGAAATACATATGGATATGATTATGAATGAAATTATATATCGAATTCAAAATGATTCTGTTTGTGGGGGAAGGAGAAAGTGAGTAGGAAAGAGGAAGGAAGTGGGGAGAGATGAAACAAATGTGGTCACAAGTTGGTAATTGTTGAACCAGATAATATATACATGGGCATTCATGGTATCTCAAATTTTGGATATTTTTGAAAATTCTACATAACAAAAAAGATTTTAAAGAATTTTCATACTCTAGTTTTATTTCACAATCTATAATTTTATTTAATTAGGGGAAAAAAGAAGACAGTTTACTCTAAGTTCAAAGACTTTACAGTGTAAAAGGCCCTTGAATTACAATTTAGCAAATCTCTACATTTAAGTCATATATTGAGAGATGTATTATAATTTCTATTATTTTATAAAGCAAACCCATTTAATATGGTAGCTAAAGTAAATATTAGGCCGAGACCGGTTTGGCTCAATGGATAGAGCGTCGGCTTGGGGACTGAAGGGTCCCGGGTTCGATTCCGGTCAAGGGCATGTACCTTGGTTATGGGCAAATCCCCAGTAGGGGGTGTGCAAGAGGCAGCTGATCGATGACTCTCTCTCATCGATGTTTCTAGCTCTCTATCTCTCTCCCTTTCTCTCTGTACAAAATCAATAAAATATATTTTAAAAAAATAAAGTAAATATTAGGTGTAGTTATTTTTGATCTAACTGATAATGTCATAGTACTATTATTTTTATATTATACAGTAAAATTTAAGGGAATGGTGAGATGAATTTGTGTATCTGCTATTGCTAATATCAATTATACTTGCTTTTATTATTTACATGAAAACAGTTTAGAACTTAGTTAAGTAATTTGAATTACATACTGATTATAGACAAATATGAAAAGTAGCATTTAAAAATATCTGGTGCTATAATTTTTATAATATAAAGTACTTAATAGAAGGAAAAAAAATTTAATTTTTTTTAATTCTAGAATTAATTCTAGAACTTTAATTCTAGAACTGAGATTTATGCTTATCCTATCTCATAAAAGAGTAATATGCAGATTGATCATCACAGCAACATAAAAGCTGGCTGTCCCATGTGGTCAAAGATACTGTCCCCAAGTGGACACAAGATGGCCACAACAAGAAGGCCAGCAGGGGAGGGCAGTTAGGGGTGACCAGGCTGGGAGAGGAAGGGAGTTGAGGGCAACTGGGCTTGCAAGGAAGGGCAGTTGGGGGGATGGGGGAAGGACCAGGGCTGCAGGGGAGGGAAGTTAGGGATGACCAGGCTGGCAGGGGATAGGTAAGGCATCAATCAGGCTGACAGGGCAGTGGTTAGGGTGTGATCAGGCTGGCAGGCAGAAGCAGTTAAAGATAATCAGGAAGGCAGACAGGCAGGTGAGCAGTTGGGACGCAGCAGTCCAGGATGTGAGAGGATGTCTGACTGCCCGTTTAGGTCCTATCCTACTGGATTGTGAGAGGGATGTCTGACTGCCTAAATGGGCAGTCGGACATTCATCAAAGGTTCCCAGATTGGAGAGCGTGCAGGCTGGGCTGAGGGACATACATCCCCATGCATGAATTTTGTGCACTGGGCCTCTAGTATTCTTATAAGTGACTTCCTAATTCTGGTTCATTCTCTTGTTTTATTTATAGCCCTGCTTGGCTGTTTTTTAAAAATTTTTATTGATTTTAGAGAGAGAGAGAAAGGGAAAGAGAGAGAGAAAAACATTAATTTTTGTTGTTCTACTTATTTATGCATTTATTGATTCTTTTGAAAACAATTACTTATTTTTTTATATTAAATTTATTGGGGTGACATTGGTCAACATAAACATAGGTTTCAGGTGTGAGTTTTTATGTTACAAGTTATATATATTGCGCCGTACTTACCATCCAAAGTCAATTCTTATATTAGGGCTGCCTTCTCCTCCCACCCCCTTCCCTCTGGCATCCACCACACTGTTCTTTGTGTTCACGAGTTTCAGATTTATATCCCATATATAAGTGAAATCTTATGGTTCTTGACTTTTTTCTGAATGACTTGGTTCACTTAGAATAGTGTTCTCAAGGTCCATCCATGTAGTTGCAAGTGACAGTATTTTTGTCCTTGTGGCTGAGTAGTATTTCATCGTGTATGTGTACCACATCGCCTTTATCCAGTTCTCTATCTCTATGTCTATTTGGTTGTGCAAATTGGCCAGCAGGGGAGGGCAGTTGGGGGCAAGATCAGGCTGGCAGGGGAGGGCAGTTGAGGTCACCATGAATAATGCTACAGTGAACATAGGGTTGCATATATTTTTGTAAATACATGATTTTCAGAGTTTTGGTTATATATCCAAAAGAGGGATTGCTGGGTCATATGGCAGCTCTAATTTTCAATATTTTGAGGAATCGCCAGACTTCCTAGTGGTTGTACCAGTCTACATTCCCATCAACACTGAATGAGGGTTCCCTTTTTCTACATCATTGGTTGATTCTTGTATGTGCCCTGACTAGGGATGGAATCTGCAACCTTGTCATTTTAGGACGACACTCTAACCAGCTGAGCTACTTGGCTAGGGCTTGGTTGCTTGATGCCCCCAATTGGCCCATCCCTTCATAAAACTGTCCAGTTTGTACTGGAACATCCGTCTGGGTATTGTGTTGAAAGAGGCCAGACAGTAAGACCCAGTCTATCACTGAAAGTTTCATTCTTTGCATATCTTTCTGTTATGAGACACTGAAAAAGAAGATAACAGTGAAATATGAAGCTACTAAATGTGGTTTTGTGACATCATATTTTCATAGTAAGAGATTGGTTCAGTTAAGCCTAGAGGTTGGTTTAGCAGGCCTAATCCTCCCCACCCCCAACTGCCCTCCCCTGCAGGCATGGTTTCCCCCAACTGCCCTCCCCTGTAAGCCTGGGTCCCCCACACTGCCTTTCCCTGTAGGCCTGGTCCCTCACAACTGCCCTCTTCTGCAGGCCTGGTCACCCCTAACTGTCCTCTGAAAGTCTGATCACCCCCAACTGCCTCCCCCTGCAGGCCTGATTGCCCACAACTGCCCTTCCCTTTTGACCATCTTGTGGTGGCCATCTTGTGCCCACATGGTGCAGCCATCTTTGAGCACATAGTGGTGGACATCTCCTGTGTTGGAGTGACAGTCAATTTGCATATTACTCTTTTATTAAATAGGATTTCTACAGATAAATTGTTAGTATTAGAATTTCTGAATAAAGAAGTATTAATATTTTTTAAAACATTTGCCATATTTTTTTGTTGTTACTGTTAATTCTCATCCAAGGACATTTTTTTGCATTGATTTTCAGAGAGAGTGAAGGGAGGGGATGTGACTGAGAAGGGGGGGAGGGGAGGAGAGACAGAGAGAGAGAGAGAGAGAGAGAGAGAGAAGAGCAACAGGGCGGGAAGGGGAGAGAAGGAAGAGAGAGAGAGAGTGAGAGAGAAAGAAACACTTACATGAGAGACATATTGATTGCTTGCCTCGTGGAAGTACCTTGACTGGGTTCCGGCTCAAGGATTGAACCTGCAACTCAGGTATGTGTTCTTGACTGGGAATCAAACCCATGGCCCTTTGATTTTTCCATGTGTGGGCGGACACTCTAACCATTGACCCATCCTGGTCAAGGCAAGTATTTGCTGTGTTTTGTTTCACTAGTTTATTTTACACCTTTTCTAATACTAGATTTTTTTTTTTTTAATCATTTCTAGTCTTAAATATGAGATATTTAGTTATGTTTTAGGAAAAAAATTTATGGGTTGAAAATCAGCATTTGGCTTAGAGAAGAGCAATTTTTTTTAACAGTATATTTTATGGTGTTAACTTTTCTCCTTTTAGGAACTTGAAAGCATAAATGAAGATGTTCAAGCAATGAGCAGCTGTTGTCAAGATATGACAAGTCGCTTACAGGTATTGTATAATGGCTTGATTTTAGCATAGTTCCCGGTACAGAGAGGTATGTTAGAGAGGTCTACAAAATGTATGGATATCTACTACATCATGCCCTATAGGAAGTTTGTAATATTGTTCAGTTAGCTCCAGAAGCCTTTATATTTTTATCTGGCTGGTACAGAACTAACTGTATAGAGTTCTGTATCTGGCTGGTACAGAACTAACTGTATAAACCTTTCAATCCCATATATATGCCAAAAGTCCAGCAGTAATAATTTCTTAATAGAAAGCCTTAGGAGTAAGTTCAAACTCAAGTTTAATTATGATTTGTGCTTAGCCTAAAAAAAAAAAAAAATCTCAGGAAAATATATTTAATTTTACTCATAGCCTGTATATTAAAACTGTTCTGAACCTCTGTTTTGGTTGTGGAGTTAGCATTTAACCTAATTATCCTAAGTCATGTGGAATAGGTTCTTCCTAAGTTAAGAGTCGGTCATGATTATTTCTACTACCTTCACATTTTTATTATAAACTTTTATCTATAAGATTCTCTTGGACCTATTGTCGGCTACAATTATAGGAAGAATCATGAATCTATGCATATTCCACAGAATAATTGATACTTGTGTGATCTGTCTGCAGAACTAGTCAATTTCCTGTTTCTAAAATTTTAGCTTTCCTAGTTTTATCTAATTTTTTTATTTTTAACTAACATCAAATATTATTGGTATATTTATTTTCTAATATTTAGATCTTTGTTAATTATACAATCCTATCTAATAAAAGAATAATATGCAAATTAACCATCACTCTGCTACACCCACAAGTCACACCCAATAGCCAATCAGGAGTGAGTATGCAGATTAACCCCAACCAAGATGGCTGAGGCCACAGAGCGAGCAGGTGGGCAGCTTGGGTTTTCTCGGCAATGGAGGAAGCCAAGCTTTCCACATACCCTGGCAGGCCCAGGCCTCCACTCAAAGCTACAAAGTTTCAATTATAGAAAGTAAACAAATCCCAACAAAAATGGCGGCAGCCATGGAGCTGCAGAGAGCAGGGTGGTGGAGGAAGCCAAGCTTTTGCAGCCCTGGCCTATCTTGGCCTCCGTTTAAGGCTACAAAATTTCAATGAGAAGATAAATAAATCCCAACAGAAATGACTGCCACCACTGAGTGAGCAGAAGGCTTGGCTCTACTCTAGGCTATAAAGTTTCAATTATAGAAGATAAATCCCAGATAACAAGGCCTGTGCTTGGGTTGCCAGGGGGGCATGGCCAGCCTGAAAACCACCACAGGGCCCTCGACCAGGCTGCCCCACTCCCCAGGGGAACCCCCACCTTGATCCGGTTTCACCCTTCAGGGCAAACTAGCTGTCCCTACCCATGCTCCAGGCCTCTATCCCATCTAATAAAAGAGTAATAGCAGATTGACCATCACTCCAACACACAAGATGGCTGCCCCCATGTGGACACAAGATGGCCACCACAAGATGGCTAGCAGGGGAGAGCAGTTGGGAGGGACCAGGCCTGCAAGGGAAGGCAATTGTGGGTGATCAGGCCAGCAGGGAAGAGCAGTTGGGAGGAACCAGGCCTTCAGGGGAGGGCAGTTGGGGGCGATCAAGCCAGCAGGGGTGGGCAGTTAGGGGTGACCAGGCCGGCGGAAGAGGGAAATTGGAGGTGACTGGGCCTGCAGGGAATGGCAGTTGTGGGGGACCCAGGCCTGCCAGGGAGAGCAGTTGTGGGGGACAAGGCCCCCAGGGGAGAGCAGTTGTGGGGGGACCATGCCTGCAGGGTAGGGTAGTTAGGGGCAAACAGGCTGGTAGAGGAGCAGTTAGGCATCAATCAGGCTGACAGGGCAGTGGTTAGGGGGTGATCAGGCTACCAGGCAGAAGTGATTATAGGCAATCAGGAAGGCAGGGAGGTGAGCAGTTGGGAGCCAGCAGTCTAGGATTGTAAGGGATGTGTGACTGCCGGGCCTAAACAGGCAGTCAGATATCCCTTGAGTGGTCTCAGATTGGAGAGGGTGCAGGGTGAGCTGAGGGACCACCCACCTCCCCCCCCCTCTACCCCTGTGCACAAATTTCATGCACCAGGCCTCTAGTATCTAAATAATCATATAAACTGCTAATTGTTGCCTTTTCACTTTTTGGTGCTTTTGTTGCATAGTAATTGATTTTGTTTGACTTTTCTTTCCAGACTTGCAAAATTTCCTCATAGCTTTTTATATTGAATATTTAAAAATATTATATACTACTTATTATTTACATTCATTATTTTTCAATTTAATTTATTGGGGGTACTATTGGTTAGTAACATTTTATAGGTTTCCAGTGTACAAATTGATAATATATCATCTGCATTGCATATGTGCTCACCATCCTAAGTGAAATGTTAGGTGGACAAGAACCATATGATTTCACTCATGTATGATACATTCATTTTTTATTCTTAGATTAGTAGGTGTTAGATATATGATTTTGAAAACTTATTTATTGGCACTAATTTATTTGGATATAGTGTTGTTATAATCTTAATAGTACCCACTAATACTATCAACTCTAGAATAATGTTTTCAATTCATTTATTTATATAAAGAAGTATTTCTTGGTAAATCCCCTCTCTTTTACATTATAAGGTGTTAAATGACTTATAGAGTGTTATAATTTAATTAGTTAATTAATTTTTCTAAAATGCTTTGGATTTAGGACAGTTTAGAAATTGATATTATGAGAGATATTTAGAAATTAAATCAGAAATTTTTTGGTATGCTATGGTTTATCCCTTTGGCTATGGTTATACTTTAATAATTTATATTTGTAGTCATATGTTTATTATTTAATGAGAAGTAATCATCTTTGACATTGAAGATAAATTGAGTAAAAATTACTTTAGGGTAATAATCTTTACAAGTATTATTAAACATTAATTTGCAATTATTACCACAATTTATAAATGAAGAGTCAGGAAATAATGCAAAAATTCTAATTGCATAACATTTATACAAGTATAATATTTCAGTGATTAATTGATGGTGGTGTTTATAAGATACACTCTTAATTTAATAATTACTAAGGCTAAAAAGAAGCTAATAAGCATTTTATGATATTAATTTTGTGAAGCACTCTTTTTTTCATAAATATTAAAATACTAGAGGCTCGGGCATGAAAATTCATGCACTGGAGAGTGGATTTCTCAGGCTGGCCTTTCCCCTCTCACAGTCTGGGAGCCCTCAGGGGTGGAAGGCGACTTGGTGATCAGGGGAAGGTGACCCCCATCACACCTCTGGTGCTGCCACTGCTGGCAGCTCAAGCCTTGGCCGCCCTGGTTACCTTAGCCTCGGGTAGCCCTGGGCAGCTGGGCAGCCAACATGCACAGCTTGCCTGCGCCTCAGGGCTGGCCCTGAGCAGCTGGGGGACTGAAGGGACTGGGGGACTCCGGAGGCAAGCACTTGGAGCCTTTTTGCGCACCTGTCACCCCGGTGGGGCAGGGGAACTGGGCGCCCCATCTTTGAGGGCAAGGCAGTCAATTAGCATATTCCCTCCATATTGGCTGTGGGTGCCACCATCTTAGTGATAGCCTGCGGGTCAATTAGCATATTCCCTCTTTATTAGATAGGATGTTAATAAGTTTTAGAATCGAAATATATTTAAAAAATTGTACAAGGCAAGATAAAGGATTGAAGTAGATCTTTAAAGCAAAATGACACTAGGAAAGATAAATATTTGAAAAAGTTATTAGATTTAAAGAGTAGTAATTTTAGAAAAATACCATGGGAGCTATCATGTTTTGCACCATTCATTAAAAGTTCATGATCTGCTGAATTATCTAGGTTTAAATCTATTTTATTAAAAATATCTACTATTTATTGGGCACTTAATTTGGTTGAAAGGAAAACAGACTCAAAATAGCTTCCCTAGAGATTAGGGTGGGGCTCTGTTAATGACTGAGAGGAGGTAGATAAATCAGTCAGAGAAAATGTCATTGATAATCTGGACTTGGCTTTAAGAACCCAGAACTTGGTGGTGGTTGGGGGTGTTTTTAGATCTAAATGAAACTCTAAAAACATTAGCAGCAGAAGTTAATTTTCTTTTTACTGACCCAGCATGAAAATGTCCCCGTTTTTTCTGGTATTCTCTCTTTAACAGACTGCCCTTCACTCTGTGTTTTTGTCTACTTTATAATTTTTTTTAATGGTCTAAAGTTTTACATATGTCTCCTTTTTCTCTAATTGACCCCACCCCCAGCCATTCCCACCCTGGGCAAGCCCCTACCGCCCCACTGTCTGCGTCCATTCGTTATGCTAATATGCATGCATACAAGTCCTTTGGCTGCTCTTTAATCCTCCCCTCTGCTGCCATTTGTCTCTGGGTCAGTTCTTGTTCATCAAATTATGTTGATCATTATATCCCAAATATAAGTGAGGTCATGTGATATTTATCTTTCTCTGAATGGTTTATTTTGCTTAGCATAATGCTCTCCAGTTCCTTTCATGATATTGTAAATGGTAAAAGTTCCTTCTTTTTTATAGTAGCATAATATTCCATTGTGTAGATCAGTGGTCAGCAAACTGTGGCTCATGAACCACATACGGCTCTTTGGCCCCTTGAGTGTTCTAATGTCACTTCTTCAAATTAGACTCGCCCAGGCTGAAAACCGACTTCTGCACATGGGCCACGAAGTTTCAATCGCACTGTACGTGCCCGCATGTGGCATTTTGTGGAAGAGCCACACACAAGGGGTCAAAGAGCCCCATGTGGCATGTGGTTTGCTGACTTCTAGTGTAGATGTACCATAGTTTTTTAATCTTCTCATCTGCTGATGCGCATGTAGATTGTTTCCAAATTTTAGCAATTGCAAATTGAGCTGCTATGAACATAAGGGTGCATATATCCTTTCTGATTAGTGTTTCTAGTTTCTTGGGATATAGTCCTAGTACTTTATAATTTTCATTTACTAGTGACTTTTGTATATACTAGAAGCCCGGTGCATGAAATTTGTGCACGGGGGAGAGGAGCAGTCCCTCAGACCAGACTGCACCCTCTCCAATCTGGGAACCCTTGAGGGATGTCTGACTGCCTGTTTAGGCCCACTGGGATCAGGTCTAAATGGGCAGTTGGAATCCCTCTCACAATCCAGGACTGCTGGTTCCAAACCACTTGTCTGCCTGCCTGCCTGATTGCCCCTCTTCTGCCTGCTAGATTGATCACCCCCTAACCACTCCCCTGCCAGTCTGATCGATGCCTAACTGCTCTCTTGCCGGCCCTATTGCTCCTAACTGCCCTCCCTTGCAGGCCTGGTCACCCATAACTGCCTTCCCCTGCAGACCTGCTCACCCCCAACTTCCCTTCTCTGTTGGCCTGGTCACCCCTAACTTTCCGCCCCTGCATGCTTGATTGCCCCCAGCTGCCCTCCCCTGCAGGCCTGCTCCTTTCCAACTGCCCTCCCCTGCTGGCCTGATCACCCACAATTGCCCTCCCTTGCAGGCCTGGTCCCTCTCAGTTTACCTCCCCTGTTGGCCATCTTGTGGTGGCCATCTTGTGTCCACATGGGGGTAGGATCTTTGACCACATGGGGGCAGCCATCTTGTGTGTTGGAGTGATGGTCAATCTGCATATTACTCTTTTATTAGATAGGATAGAGGCCTGGAGCATGGGTGGTAGCCAGCTGGTTTTCCCTGAAGGGTGTCCCAGATTAGGGTTGTGGTTCCCTTGGGGCGTGGTGCGGCCTGGGCGAGGGCCCTGTGGTGGTTTGCAGGTTGGCCACACACTCCCAGTGACCCAAGCGGATGCCCTGGTATCTGGGATTTTTTTTATCTTCTACAATTGAAACTTTGTAGCCTGGCGTGGAGTCAAGCCTCCTACTCTGTTCAGTTATTGCAGCCATTTCTGTTGGAATTTTTTTATTTTCTATAATTGAAACTTTGTAGCGGTGAGTGGAGACTAAGGCAGATACTTGGCTTCCTCCATCGCTGGAGGAAATCCTAACCTCCTGCTCTATGCAGCTTCATGGCTGCCGCCACTTCTGTTGGAATTTATTTATCTTCTATAAATGAAACTTTGTAGCCTTGAGTGAAGGCCTGGGCCTGCCAGGGTGTGTGGAAAGCTTGGCTTCCTTCATCCCTGGGGAAACTCAAGCCTCCCTCCTGTTTGTTCAGTGGCTGCAGCCATCTTGGTTGGGGTTAATTTGCATACCAGATCCTGATTGGCTGGTGGGCGTGGCTTGTGGGTATAGTGGAGAGATTATTAATTTGCATATTACTCTTTTATTAGATAGGATACTTTTGACTCTATATCCCCTCAAGGCCTAGACCCTCGGTCTTTTTTTTTTTTTTTTGCCTTACAACTACTTGTTTCTTCCCTTATTAATAAGTGCCTTATTTCAGGTCTTTGAGAGAATCTGATTGATTACATCTGTATTTTGTCTTAATCCACTTTATAAATATTTGCCTATTCTTGGATAGAACACCTTATTTTTCAGGTTTTTGCTCCTGATCCTTTCAACTCTAGCTTGTGGGAGGGAGGACTGCTTGGTATGGAACTTGGTCAGGAGCAGCTTGTGTCTTTTGTTTCTAATCTTCACCAAAATTTTATATGAGAGATAGTTTGTATATCTCAACTCCATCTTGGCCCTTTCTGATGAGTATTTCAGTGACTTAACTTACAACTCCATTTAGAGGTCTCATGGTGTCTCACCATGTGCAAAACAAGTCATATTCTTCACCTTAACTTGCTCTTCCAGTGCTTCTGTTTCACAAAAAGCATCACGAACTGTTAAATTCCTTAGTCAGCATCCTGATATCTTTTTCTTTTTTTTAAGCCTTACTATGATGTATGTTTTGATAACATTGAGTGAATTCTTCTTGCTAAAGTTAGTATATGAGCCTTAAAACTTATGTTTAATTATAACTCGGGTGTTTTTATAAACTTTTGAGTTCTGGAGTATGATCTCCTTTGCCATAGGTCTAAACTCCAGTAAGTGGTAGTGTTAGTTTTTGAAGTATAACAAAATTGACATGTACTGATACCAGATATATTTATAATTTTAGGCAGCAAAGGAACAGACTCAAGATTTGATAGTAAAAACCACTAAGCTTCAAGCCGAAAGGTAAGTTCTTATACATAATCACCCCTTCATTAATTTGGAGATTAAGTGGAAAGAAAATTATAGATGAAGCCAACTCAAATTTAAAACAAAATAATAAAAAACATGATTCAAGATTGTTATATGAGGTTTCAATTGTTGTCCAACATTAAACTTGATATTGAGGTTAAGGGATTATCCCTTTTTGTTTGGAGTTGACAATGTGTTATTTATTGTTAGCTACAGAATTAAAAATGATTGCTATTTAAAATGTAGGTATATTTTAAATATATATTTTTTTATTTTAGAGAGGAATAGAGAGGGAGAGAAAGAGAAAGATAAAAACATTAATTATGAGAAAGAATCATTGACCAGCTGCCTCCTGCATGCCCCCTATTGGGGATAGAACCCCAAACCCAGGCATGTTTTCTGTCCAAGAATTTGAACCATGACCTCCTGGTTCATAGGTGACACTCAACCACTGAGCCACTCCAAGTTGGGCAGTATTTAAAAACATTTTTTTTTTTACAATGATTTCCTATTTTGTTTTAACTGTGATTTATTTTCTCTGGTATATTCAAAAAGTAATTGCATAAATTCTTCTTGGAGTGGTTTACAAATAGGTATACTAATATTTGTTGACCCAGTCAATACAATATGGAGTCATGTATTGTAGTGTGTATTATAGTCTTCTGTAATTTATTGTTGGTTTCATTGTATCTTTTTTCCTACCAAATTGTGAGCTCCTTGAGAACAATGACAATTTCTTATTCTCTTTGTGTCTCCAGTGCATAACAATAAAAATTTTTTTGAGTGCATGGATGCAATTATTATAACATTAGGGAAGGAAGGTAAAATAAAAACTGAAAAATAAGCATTGTATTGCAGCTTATAACATATATGGGATTCCGATTCATCTTCAGGAAGAAATATTAGAACATTTTTCTTCTGTTCATATTTTCTCAAAACTAAGTAAAGTTTTGCTTATTATTTTAGTAAGCCTATCAGAGTGTTTTGGCGTGGTATACTTTTAGCAAATGAAAATTTGTGACATTCAAGTATGCCAAGAGCTATAGAAATGTACCAAGTGGATTTTGTGTGATTATATCTGAGGAAAATTACATAGCAGAAATTATGATAACAAATTCCTGTGAGCTGGCAGAGAGGTATTTTCCCCATTTTTAAATAAATTTTAAAAAATTTAAAAAATATATATTTTATTGATTTTTTACAGAGAGGAAGGAAGAGGGATAGAGAGTTAGAAACATCAATGAGAGAGAAACATTGGTCAGCTGCCTCCTGCACGCTCCCCACTGGGGATGTGCCCGCAACCAAGGTATATGCCCTTGACTGGAATCTAATACGGGACCTTTCAGTCTGCAGGCCGACACTCAATCCACTGAGCTAAACGGGTTTTGGCTAAAAAATTTTTAACAAGAAAATTTGTTAAATAGTTAGCTTTAGAAATAGAAATTCAGTGGGCTTATTTGAATAACATGTTATCCTCATTCAGACAGTAAATGTATAAAGGATATGAATACTTTTCTAACCAGTGTTGAAAAGGGTCAGTCTTTGTGACAGCTGATGCTCTGGCAAGTAAAGTTCAATGTAGAATTGTCTTCATAGAACTGCAGCTTAACATTTCCCCTTTAATATTTAGTTGATAGTATTTCCGGAATTTGTTTCTCTCTTTCCCCTTTCGAAGGGGCTTCTGGAACTGGAGAAGCATGGCTGTCCAGCATGCCATTTGGGATGTGGTGGGTGGTCTGGAACAAATGCTTCTGACCCCTGGGACCTAACGGGTGTGTGCTGACTACAACCTCTGGCAGACCCTCAGCCTGCTCTCTTCCCTTTAAGCTTCATGCCTGGTTGGCAAGGTGCTCCTAGATGCATTCAAATGTACTCTTATTTGCTCTTGGACTGCCATTAAGTAAGGAGATGGTTAAAGAGAATTCCCTATTTATTTGACCAAAAATCCAGTTAATATATTAATGTGAAATACAAAATATTTTTTAAAGTATTAAACAAAATCTGTTAAGGTAAATGTTCATAATTAGTAATATGATGATTTAGTATACATGCCATTTAAATCTACTAGTATATCTTTAACTAGGTGATTTATGTTATCATTTGCTAAAAACGACATTATTGCCACCTGCAAGAATTTTCCTTTTTAGCTTTTTATGTTACTCAGCAGTAGTATTTGACTTTGTGAATTTAAAACCTCACAATCCAAGAGTACAAACCAAAGATAATAGATACATTGGACTGTCTATACAAATAGTGGTAATATCTATCTTTGTTCATTTTTGGGGGTATTATTAGACTGTGAATACTACTAAAGAAGCACTTAGAATTTTATTTATATATCTTCAAAGCTAAGATACAGAAGCCAGGAATGTTGTGGTTCTGCTCAGGTAGTTTGTATTCCTAATTTGCCTTTAGATGGTCACTCTGCTCAGTCCTTTAGGTCCTGGCAAGTTGCATTCCAGACTAGAGCTTGCCTTTTCCTAATTTTCAATTAGTCTAAATAGGTTGCAGTAATTTAAAATATTTTAAAAGGCTTTTTTAAATTTTATTACCATAGTATATATTGAAAAAGCCAGGAAGGCAAAAGTGAGAAATGACTATAGATTTATAAGGAATTAGTAAATGGGTTTTGGAATTCTAGCTCTAACTTAAAATTAAAAAACTAAAAAACACTATACCTGATTTTTGGTTGTTGTGAAAACTTCAAAGCTTAGGAATTTTAATACTGAGAAGAAAATAGTTGAACATGGACATATTTCTCTCCTGTAAGATAACCTTACTATTACAATGTGAATTATTTAAGTACTTGTAGGGACCATCTGTGAACTTTTTCTTCTTTTTTATAATTGTTAACTCCTTTTACTATGTGCAAGTATTTGAGGTAGAATGTTATGAGCTAATTTTATCATCTATATACATGATGAGCTTTCAGTATTTGAGGAAGAAATTGTACTTTCAAAGAGGTTGAGAATCTTTCACATCTTTATTTTAAAAGGTTAGTAAGTTAGACCATAATTTGTTTTAAAGCTTTGCAAATGCACAATGTATTTGATATTTTTAAGTTTTTGTTTTTTGTTATTACAGTCAAAGATTAGAAATAAGAGCACAAGTTGCCGATGCTTTCTTATCCAAGTTCCAACTAACTTCTGATGAAATGAGTGTTCTCCGAGGTACAAGAGAAGGACCTATTACTGAGGTATCTTGCTTTTGTTATATTTATTTCAAGTGCTATAGTTATAGATGTCATAGAGAAAATTTTAAGGCTTTATAATACCATTTAAAAAATGTTTGATTTGAAAATATTTTCAAATTTGGAAATTAAGATGTGTATTTTAAACTGTTTTATTTTTTTCCCCCCAAAGCAATACATGTCCTTTTTAAAGGGACAAGGCTTATAAAGGGAATCTATATCACCTCTTCCACTCCTTATCTCTAAGTCTTTTGTCAACCATTTCAAACCTGTTAATAGCTGCTTTTGTAAATTCTATATTCTAGAGCTATTGTTAAAAAGAATATGTTTTCAGTGTAGTAGGGATGGAAAAGCAGTGAGTTATCCAATCAAATTCATTTAAAGATTACTAATAGTTATTTGCACTAAATTTAGTGTCTGTTATTCTGGGGACGGGGGTGTATAGGATATTAGATCAATTATAAAGAATAAACTATATATTCTTTTATTTAACAAATATGTTTTAATTATCTGTGTTAACTATTTTTCATTGATTTTCTAACATGAAATATGAGGATTTAGCCTCTTCCCCTGAGCCCCAACCCCCCATACATGCACACATTCTCTTTCCTTGGAACCTCACAGTACAGTATCATGGCATTTTCTGTTTACATTTTAATAACATTACAGTGACCACATGTTCTTTATTTTACAACTTTGTCTTTTTTAGATTTGAAAATTCCTATTTTTATCTAATTAATTTTTTAACCTATGACATTCTTTTCAAACTGACATAAAACTATAAAACCTCTCAAAATGCTAAACAACAGGGAAATGCTTGCTTTCTTTTCTCTCCTTCTCTCTTTCTCTCTCTCTCTCTCTCTCTCTCTCTCTCTCTCTTTCTCTTTTTTTCTTTCTTTCTCTCCTCCTCCTCCTCCGCCTCCGCCTCCACCTCCACCTCCACCTCCACCTCCACCTCCTCTTCCTCCTCTTTATATTACAGTCCAGGCTGGAATGTAAGCAGTTACCTGTGGGCAGGGACACTACTTATCAGTCCTTGAGGTTTGAGGAACATTGCACATTTTAAATATTTGACATCTCACCTTTTTCTCTACTTGGGAGAAATAAACTATTAATATTAGAGGGTATATTTTTAATATATTTTATTGATTTTTTTACAGAGAGGAAAAGAGAGGGATAGAGAGTTAGAAACATCAATGAGAGAAACATCAGTTAGCTGGGGATGTGCCCGCAACCAAGGTACATACCCTTGAATTGAACCCAGGACCCTTCAGTCTGCAGGCCGATGTTCCATCCACTGAGCCAAACCAGTTTTGGCTAGAGGGGATATTTTTTATTTAAATTGAGTTCATCAAAAAAAAGTAACACATTCATTATTTTCATGTTTAGAACATTGTTTGGCTTTTGTAAACTAAGGTTCCAATATGTTTTTCTAAATTAAAAATATCTTGGAGTTCAGTATCTGTCAGCTCTTAATATTTATTGAGCATCTTTTATATATCTAACTTTGCAGTCTACTCTTAGATGTGGTGACAAGAATCTACCGTATTTTCCGGCGTATAAGATGACTTTTGAAACGAAAAAAAAGCCTGCTCAGATTGGCCAGAGTCAGAGAGGCGGTCTATTAAAAAAAGAACTGGTGTTGCCGCGGAAGTGGGGGGTAGTCTTATACAGCGAATATAGGCCTAAACCTATGTTTTAACTAAAAAATTAGGGGGTCGTCTTATACACTGGAAAATATGGTATCTAAACTAATAAAAGGGTTATATGCTAATTAGAGAGGGTCATCTTCCAGATATCCTTCTTGACAAAGCTGGGGGCATGGTTGGCATGCACACTGCTTCAGGCTCCTTGCCTAGGCTGTCCCTGCCCTCCAGCAGCAACCCCCACCCCGAGGGGGGTGTGGCCAGCCTGCAAACCACCCTTAGACCCTCTCTCAGGCCGGCCCCACCCCAGCAAGGACCCCCACCCTTATAGAGGTGTGGCCAGCCTGCAAATTGGCTGCAGCCCCTCACCCAGGCAGGGCCCACCCCCCAGCAGGAACCACCACCCTGTCGGGAGCATGACAAGCCTGCAAACTGCCGGAAGACTCTCGCCCGTCCCAGTGGGGATCCCCACCCTGATTGGGGGTGAGGTCAGCCTGAAAACCCTACCCCCAAGCAAAGACCCTCCACCCCTATCTGGGGCTGCCTTCAGGGCAGGCCAGCCAGCCCTCACCTGTGTACCAGTCCTCTCTTCTATATAGTAAAAGGGTAATATGCAAATTGATCCTAATGGCAGAATGACCAGAACAACTGCTGGACAGACACTATGAGGTGCAATGAACACCTCTTGGTCTGTTTCCTTTGCCAGCAAGCTCTGATCGCCTGATGGTTACTTGCTACAGAGGCGGAGCCAGCATTTGGGCAGGAACAGCTGACCTTTTGGTCCCTTCCCATGGCTGTCAGGCACTGATCACACAGTGATAAACGGGGAACCCGGGGTGGGTGGTGGGGCCAACTGTGGGCAGCTGGGAAAGATAGCCCTGATCTTAGGCCAGGTCTACGGACCTTAACCGTGTATGAATTTTGTGCGCCAGACCACTAGGCTATATAATAAAGAGCCACCATTGTAACAACCTTTATGACCGAAGGCTCAATCAGACTGGAAGGCTCAATCAGGCTGGGTTGCCGTGTTGGACCAGCACTGATGGGCCACTGCTGGCACCGACTCAGCACAGTCTAGGGGGCTGCAGATCAGGCCTGGAGAGAGGCCTGCAGAGAGAGAGGCAAGGTCTGATCCGTAGCCTCTGTGGCAGCTGTTAATTAGAACTTTCCTCTCTTTCACTCCTGACTTGGCCAACAGCTGTGTCTCCATTTCTTTCAGGCCTCCACGGAGGCTGCTGATCAGCCCTGTCTTTCTGATCAGTCCCCATTAACTGACATAGAAACTGACCAATCAGAACCAAATCTGGGTGAATGTAAGGAACCAATGGCTGCCTAGGAGGTGGAACTCTTTATGCAGACTGTCATAGAAACTGACCAATCAGAACCAAATCTAGGTCAACTGTGAGAAGCCAATGACTGCCTAGGAGGCAGAGCTTTTGATGCTGACTGGCATAGAAACTGACCAATCAGAACCAAATTGGCTGGCAGAGGAGGGCATTTGGGGGTGAGATCAGAGCGGCAGGGGAGGGTAGTTAAGGGTGATCAGGCAGGCAGAGGCAGTTATGGGCAATCAGGCTGGCAGGGGAGAGTAGTTAGGGGCCAGATAAGGTTGGCAGGGGGGACCATTGGGGGCAACCAGGCTGGTAGTTGGGGACGAGATCAGGCCAGCAAGGATGGGAAGTTAGGGGTAATTAGGAAGGCAGAGGCAGTTGGAGGTGATATCAGGCAGGCAGGGGAGAGCAATTGGGGGGAGATCAGGCTGGCAGGCAGGTAGCAATAGTTAGGAGCGATTAGGCAGGCAGGCAGAGGGGTTAGGAGCAATCAGGCAGGCAGGTGAGTGGTTAGGAGCCAGTGGTCCCAGATTGTGAGAGGGGTGTCTGACCAGCAGTCATATGTCCTCTGAGGTGTCCCTGAATGGAGTGGGTGCAGACTGGGCTGAGGGAACCCCCCTCCTTCATGCATGAATTTTGTGCACCGGGCCTCTAGTGTATATATAAAAACCTAAGCAACCAAACAACCAAGTAACCACTTGACCAGCTCAATGCACAGGATCAGACTCCCCTCCTATCTGGATTGGGCCTGTGGGAATCAGTTTAAAACTGGCTATCCAACATCCCCCTAGGGGATGCAGGCCAGACCAAGGGACCCCACTGGCGCACGAATTCGTGCACTGAGCCTCTAGTGGGTATATAAAATATATATAAAACACCATCCTTAATGACAAGAAGGCCATGATTTAACTAAGTTATAAGATGTTCACTAATAGCACATTTTTCTTTATGTAATAATCTTTAGTTTTGCATTTCTCTTCACTAGACTCTGTATTTCCTGGGAACAGATTTTTGTCTTTATAAAATTTTCATTGATGGCAGCAGACAATTGGCATATAGTAGACATTGAATTAATATATGTTTTGAAATTTGAATAAATCTCTTACACTTTACATAAACATTTAGAGAAGGTTGAGATCAGCATAGAAAGGATCAGAGTAGGAGAAAGTATTTGTTTTTCCTTTGTAGCGATATTTCATTTTAGAGTAATATAATTTTACCTGAAAACATGGACATTTTAAGGTTGCATTCTTAATTTTAAAGGCTTTTTTCAAGGGATTGGGAAGAGTAAAACAGATTCATAATGATGTCAAAGTCCTCTTGCGTACAAACCAACAAACAGCAGGGTGAGTAACCATTTCAGTTCATAATTGCATTGATTCTTGTATTTCCAAAATTAAAAAAATTCTAGGTTCTTTTTGAAAAAGTTTAATCTTTATGTGTCCTTGGATAAGGAGGGAGTTATATCCTGATGTACTTAGAATAAAACAGCAATTAGGTAACAAAGTGATGGTAATAAAATTTGACATTTGTTTAATTTTTAAAAAATTGAAAAATCATTCCATAAAATGATAAAAGACTAACGTGATGTAATCAAATCATTTTGTAATTAAACAATATTTATGTGCCTAGATGTAGCTGTTGGATAAAAGTTTAAATTATAATGCATTTTTTTATCTTTATTTTTTTTTAGTTTAGAAATTATGGAACAGATGGCCTTGCTTCAAGAAACAGCTTATGAAAGACTTTATCGATGGGCTCAAAGTAAGTGACTTCTTTCATGTGGTCTGGATTTGTGAATATTAGTGTTAGAATATTTTTTATCTCATTTGATCATTATTTCATGTATTTTTATTTTAGTTATCAAAAAGTACTTTTAAAAAGAACAAGCTTTACATTTGAACTTATTTTCTTTGGACCCACTAAGGAAATCTGGGGAAATTGCTCTTAATTGCATCTGCAAAGTGTCTTTGCTATGTGAAGTAAACTATCACAAGTTCCAGGGATTAGGGATCTTTGGAGGACCATTATTTTGCCTACTACAAGAGGTTTATTTGCATTAGTTTTGTTTAAAAATGTCTCAATAAGTTCTCAAAATTTCCTATTAAAATCAAAGAAGATGGTTAAGAGCAAGAATGGAATAGGAGAACAGAGATTTTAATAGGTGTTACCAACTGACTATTGAAGCAATTGGGATTAAATCTCCTTAACTGGTTACTGTACTGTGAAAACTTGGTTCAGATGATTTATCTGGTTCAGATAATTTATTCCAAAATGTGTTTCTTTTTATGCGTCTCCTTTTTTGCACCGTTTACTCCTATTTTGAGTGTTGACTCTTTCTTTATATACAGGTCCTACCTGAATATTTAAAGCTAGGTTTAGGTTTTATAACTTTCTGGAATTCTCCATGGCTACATTTATTCACAGTGACTTTTCCTCATCTCTGAACATCATTGGAAATATTTATTTGGCATTCAGTAATTTACTACTTTATTATTACTTTTTGTATATGTATATTTTAGCTCTCTAGTATAGATTTCTTTTTCAAAGGCCTCAAATTCCTTTGTGCTCTCATGACATCTAACATAGTAGCTCCAAACTGTGGGCCTTTGGCTCCTAGGAACTTTCAGATGTCTCTATATCTGTACCTGCATAAGTATGAAATATGTATGAGTGCTAAAAATACAGTGCTAGTGTGAGGTCTTCATATCCTAAGGTTTTGAATTTCTGAAACAAAGTTTGAAGTTCTTTAAACATAGTAGACTCTTTATAAGTATTTAATGATAAGATTAGAATCCTATCTAATAAGAGTAATATGCAAATTGACCATACCTCTGCTGTACCCATAAGCCACGCCCACCACCAATCAGGAGTGAGTATGCAAATTAACCCAGCCAAGATGGCTGTACCACAGAGTGAGCAAGAGGCTTGGGTTTCCCTGGCATCTGAGGAAGCCAAGCTTCCCACACACCCTGGCTGGCCCTCGACTCCACTCAAGGATACAAAGTTTCAATTATAGAAGATAAATAAATCCCAACAAAAATGGCTGCAGCCACAGAGCTGGAGAGAGTAGGAGGCTTGGGTTGTCCCCAGTGATGGTGGAAGCCAAGCTTCCTGGCCTGCCTTGGCCTCTGCTAAAGGATACAAAGTTTCAATTATAGAAGATAAATAAACCCCAGATACCAGGGCCTCTGCTTGGGTTGCCAGAGGGTGTGGGCAGCCTGCAAATCACCACAGGCCCCTCGCCTAGGCTGTCCCACCCCCCAAGAGAACCCTACCCTGATCCAGGACACCCTTCAGGGAAAACCAGCCAGCCCCCACCTATATACCAGATCTCTATCCTATCTAATAAAAGAGTAATATGCAAATTGACCATCACTCCAACACACAAGATGGCTGCCCCCATATGGACACAAGATGGCCATCAGGAGAGGGCAGTTAGGGGCAATCAGGCTGGCAGGGGAGGGTAATTAGGAGCAATCAGGCTGGCACGGGAGCAGTTAGGAATCAATTAGGCTGGTAGAGGAATGATTAGGTGGTGATCAGGCTGGCAGGCAGAAGCAGTTAGAGGCAATCAGGAAGACAGGCATGCAAGCAGTTGGGAGCCAGCAGTCCTGGATTGTGAGAGGGATGTCTGATTGCCCGTTTAGGCACTATACTACTGGGATCGGGCCTAAACAGGCAGTCAGAATTCCCTTGAGGGTTTCCATATTGGAGAGGGTGCAGGCTGGGCTGATGGACACCTCTCTCCCCCTCGTGCATGAATTTTGTGCACCGGGCCTCTAGTCTGTATAATAAAAGCCTAAGCAATCATTATGGTGGAACGACTAGTTGCTATGATGCACACTGACCAACAGGGGACAGATGTTCAACACAGGAGCTGCCCTCTGGTTGTCAGTGAGCTCCCAGTAGAGGAGCACCACTCAGCCAGAAGCTGGGCTTATGGATGGTGAGCATGCAGCATTGGAGGTAGCCTCTCCCACTTCCACAGTAGCGCTGAATAGCAGCGAGCTGAGGATCAATGAGCCCATGGGCAGTAAGGAGCGAGAGGGTGCAAGCTGGGTTTGAGGAAATGCCCCACCCCAGTGCACGAATTTCGTTCACCAGGTCCCTAGTAGTAAAATAAAGAAAATTTGGTGTAGAGATTTTTAAAATGTTAAAGTTTAAACTTTTAAAATGATAATGATATTACTATATATTATCTATATAAACATTTTAAGTATATCGCTTAAAGATTACTCCCAAGGGAAGGAACTTTGTAATAATTACATATATACATATATACATATATACACACACACATATATATATATATTTCCTATCTAATAAAGAAGAAACATGCTAAGTTTGACCCTCATACTGTTGCAAATATGGCGGCAAGCACAGCCAATAAGGAGGGAATATGCGAATTTACTTCCCCGCCCTCAAATATGGTGGCACCCATAGCCAATAAGGAGGGAATATGCTAATTGACTGCCCCACTCTCAAAGATGGTGGTGTTGCCCACAGCCAATAAGGAGAGAGTATGCTAATTGACTGCCAAACCCTTAAAGAAGGTAGCACCCACAGCCACGAGATGGTGGTGCCGAGTCCTCTCAAGCCCCCTGGGGCGGCAGACACACAGCAAGGCTGGGGCCACCTTCTGGTGGGCCTGGATGCTCCGCATGCCTGCCTCTGGAGTCCCCCCAGTCCCTTCAGTCTTCCAGTCACCCAGGGCTGGTCTGAGGCACAGGCAAGCCTCAGATGGCAGCTGCCCAACTGCCCAGGGCTGTCTAAGGCTCAGGTAACCAGGGATGGCTGAGGCTTGTGCTATCGGCAATGGCAGCAGCAGAGGTATGATGGGGTGTTGCTTTCCCCTGATGGCCGGGTCGCCTCCTGCCCTTGAGGGCTCCCGGACTGTGAGAGTGGCAGGTGGCTGAGGGACCCCATCCTTCAGTGCTTGTGTTTCCATGCACTGGGCCTCTAGTATATAATAAAATCCTAGGTGGCCTTTGTGCCCTCGTGCCCTCACGTCATCATAAGATAGCCAACCCCATGTTGTTATAAAATGGCTGCTCCCATGTTATCACAAGATGGCTGGCAGGGGAGGGTAGTTGGGGGGTGCACAGGCCATCAGGAGAGAGGAGTTGGGGTGACAAGGCCAGCAGGGGAGGGTAGTTGCAGGTGAGATCAGGCCAGCAGGGGAGGGCAGTTGGGGGCGAGATCAGGCCAGCAAGGGAGGGCAGGTGGGGATGAGATAAGGACTACAGGAGAGGGCAGTTGGGGGTGACCTGGTCTGCAGGAGGGCAGTTGGAGGCAACCAGGCTGTCAGGGGAGGGCAGTTGGTAGAGATAAGGCCAGCAGGGGAGGGCAGTTAAAGGCAATCAGGCTGGCAGGAGAGCAGTTAGGAATCAATTAGGCTGGCAGGGGAGCCTTTAGGGGTAATCAGACTGGCAGGCAGAAGTAGTTAGGGGCAATTAGGCAGACAGGCAGGTTAGTGGTTAAGAGCCAGCAGTCCCGAATTATGAGAGGGATGTCCGACTGTCAGTTTAGGCCTGATTCCACTGGCAATTGAGGGGTCCCAGATTGGAGAGGGTACAGGCTGGGCTGAAGGACACCCCCCCACGGTGCACAAATTTCATGCACAAGGCCTCTATTATATATTGTGTGTATGTGTGCGTCTGTGTTTGAGTATTTTTAATACTCTTCCCCTCTTGCCTTGAACATTACTGTGTATAAAGCAGTTATTCAGTGAATAAGTTTTCATTGATTGATTTTATAGAAATGTAATTCATAAAATAATAATAAAATATAAGTTTGGGGTATACCACATAGCATATGTGGTCATTTAAAGTTATATAAATACTTAAGCTTAAATTTTTAGTTTGGTTGACAGCATAAATCAGTTTCTGATAGACATATTTTCTAGGTTTTTCCAAGCACTTTAAAAATGCAATATTTCTATAGAATTTAGACTGTGATTGTACAACAGATATAATTATTTATATGTATCTTATATAAATTTTTTATATCATATATATCGTATTTAAATTATTTATATGTATCTTAATTCCTTTTCAGGTGAATGCAGAACATTGACACAAGAATCTTGTGACATATCTCCAGTATTAACTCAGGCAATGGAAGCCCTGCAAGATAGACCTGTCTTATATAAGTAGGTGATTTTTTCCTACTTTTGTTTTTATAATACACTGTAGCTTTTGGTAATATTAAACACAATAGTTTAATACTTATAATAACTTACAATGATATTTTAATCTCATTATGTCTATATCAATGCTAGCATCAGTTCATTTGTTTATTATATGCTAAAGAATGCAATATGGAGGGGAAAATCCAGGTGTTCCTACATAGATTACCTCATATTTATGTAGAGGCTAAGAGGCTTTTCCCCATTCTGTCATCTTATTAACTATCTTGGAATTGTGACTAAGACTCTTGTAGCAACACTATCTTAGAGAGAGGGAGGTCAGGTCAAATAGAAGACTGAGAAGTGAAAAAAGGGTCTAGATCTTTGATTCTGTAATTTATGCCAGCTAAGAGATAAATGATAATGTATAAGGAGACTTTATGCATTAACTTGTTTACATATTTTTTATTCTTCATTTTAATTTAATTTTATTTCTCATCCTATATAATAAGATCCTAATATGCAAATTGACCCAACAGCTGGACGACCAGCAGAATGACTGGTCACTATGACATGCACTGACCACCAAGGGGCAGATGCTCAACACCAGAGCTTCCCCCTGGTAGTCAGTGTGCTCCCACATGGGGTGCACTGCTCAGCCAGAAGCCAGGGTCTCAGCTGGTGAGTACAACAGCAGTGGTGGGAGCCTCTCCCGCCTCTGCTCCAGGCAGGCAGTAAGGAGCAAGGGGTCTTGGACTACGAGAGGCCCCATTTGGCCAGGGCCAGCATGCGGACATCCCATGGAGGGTCCCAGACTGTGAGAGGGCACAGGCCGGGCTGAGGGGACCCTCCCCACAGTGCAAGAATTTCGTGCACTGTGTCTCTAGTATAAAATAAAAGGAAATACTTTTTAAGTAGGGGACTGATGCACAAAATTTGTGACAGGGGAAGGGTGTTCCTCAACCCAGCCTGCACCCCTTGGCAATCTGGCACCCCTGGGGTGATGTCTGACATTTCTCTCGCAATCCAGGACCCTTCGCTCCTTATTGCCTGCCGGCTCACTCCTTACTGCTTGGCTCGCCCTTCCTTAGCGCTGCTGGGGTGGCTCCTGCCACCTCCTCTGCACTCGCCAGCCATGAGCCCGGCTACTGGTTGAACAGTATTCCCACTGTGGGAGCGCACCGACCACCAGGGGGAAGCACCTGCATTGAGTCTCTGCCCCTTGGTGGTCAGTGTGCATCATAGTGACTGGTCGTTCTGGTTGTTCCAGTCATTCTGCCAAAACAGTTGCTGGGCTTTTATATATATAGATGACTGGAATAATATGAAAAAGGGGAGACAAAGTAAGGATTTATAATTCAGGAGACAGAAAGGAAGTGGACTTGTACCTAGACATTGAATCTTACTCTGACTGATGCCTTTCAGATGCTAGTAATATTTTACAAGATTTCCCATTACTCTGCTTTCTGATTGGACCATTACTTAGCTTGTAATAAAGTTCTAGAACACAAATGCTGGGACAATTGTGTAAAAATGTCATTCTACTCTTGTGTAAAGCAGAATTGTAAGACACAACATCAATAAAACACTGCTCTCATATCGCTTCAGTTTATGAAACCAGATATAAACACATCCATTTTATGAATATACTAGAGACCTGATGCACGAAGATTCATGCAAGAATAGCCCTGCCTTCCCCTGGCTGCAGCACTGCCTTCACTCTGGATGTAGCTGCCTTTCTGCCTTCCCATGTTGCCCAGAAGCCCAGAGCTGCTGGAGCAGTGCGGAACACCTGCATCATCACCATGGTGATAATGCAAGTGTCTCACCCCACCCCTGGTCGCTCAGTGCCTTCATATGTAAATTAAGCTTCAGTTTCCTTAGCTGTAAAATGAAGATAATATTAGTACCTATTTTTTAGTTTCTTGGGAAGATTAATTATATTTTTTACATAAGGTGTTTAGTATAATACACCTTATACTCATCACTAAATATTAGCTATTATTTTTATTTTGAAAGATAAACTGCAAAGTTGTCAACCAAATGAATGTATTTAGGGTCTCCATGACAGCCAGGCAAAAGCTTGAAGGACAAAGAATCATGTACACTAATAACTCCACTAAACCCACCAGCCAATCAGGAGCAAGTATTCAAAGTAACCCAACAAAGATGACAGTGGACATGGAGCTGGAGTTATCAGGAGGCTTGTGTTGCTCACCCGCCTTGGCCAGCCCTGTCCTCTGCTCAAGGCTACAAAGTTTCAATTATAGATAAATAAATCCTAGATACCTGCTTCCAGCCTGCCCTGGCCCTGCTCAAGGAGGCGCTAAAAAAAAAAAAAAAAGGAGGGGCTGGGAGCTTGGGTCACCGGGGGGCATGGCCAGCTTGAAGATGGTCATTGGCCCCTTACTTAGGCTGGCCAGGCACCCCAGCAGGACCTCCACATCCTGAAGGGTCTGTGGTCAACCTCTTAACAGCTCTCAGCCCCTCACTCAGGCTGGCCAGGCACCCCAGTGGGACCCCCACCCTGATCCTGGTCACCCTTCAGGGTAAACCAGCTGGTCCCCGCTCTTACTCCAGGCCTCTATCTATACTAATAAAAGGGTAATATGTTAATTAGACTGGGAGACCTTCCAGACATTCTTCTGGACAAAGCCATGGTGTCAGGGCCAAGGTAGAGGTGGTTAGAGGCCATGAGCGGAGGGCAGTTGTGGGTGATCAGCTGGTGTGTGTGTGTGTGTGGGGGGGGGGGTGGGGGGTTATTGGAGGTAAGCAGACTAGCAGAGGGGCCAGTTGGGGGTGAGCAGGCTGTTAGTGAGGATCAGTTGGAAGTGATTAGGACAGTAGGGGGAGGCAGTTTGGAGTAAGCAGGCCAGCAGGGGGGCAGTTGGGGACAAACAGGCCAGTGGGGAGGGAAGATATGGAAGAGCAGGCCAGCAGGGGGGGTCGGTTGGGGGCAAGCAATCCAGCAGAGGAGGCATTTGGGGGTGAGCACAATGACATGGAGGAAAGATGGGGGTGATTAGGCTGTCAGTGGGGGCATTTGGGGGCGATCTGGCCGGCAGCAGGTACAATTGAGGGCAAGCAGGCCGGCAAGCAGAGTGGTTAGGGGCCATCAGGCAGGCATGCAGGCAGGTGAGCGGTTAGGAGCTAGCAGTCCCAGATTATGAGATAGATGTCCAACTGCTGGTTTAGACCCGATCCCTGTAAACTGACTGACAGTAGATCATCCTTTGAGGGGTCCCATATTGGAGAGGGTGCAGGCTGGGCTAAGGCACACCCTCCCTCCTGTTGCATGAATTTTGTGCACCAGGCCACTAGTATCTAATAAAGTGGGAATTATGCTAATTGACTGTCTTGCCCTCAAAGATGGTGGCACTCACAGCCACAAGATGGCAGTGCCTAGTCTCCTCAGCCCCACCAGAGTGGCAGATGCACTGCAAGGTGCGCCTGCCTCTGGAGTTCCCCAGTCCCTTCAGCCATCCTGCCTCCCAGGGCCGGCTCAAGGCGCAGGCAAGCCTGGGATAGCAGCTGCCCAGCCACCCTGGGCCGCCCTAGGTTCAGGGCCGGCTGAGGCTTGAGCTGCTGTAAGTTGCAGCGGCAGAGGTGTGATGGGGCATTGCCTTCACTAGGTCACCGCCTGCTCCTGAGTGCTCCCGGACTGTGAGAGGGCGCAGGCCGGGCAGTGGGGCCCCTGCCTCCAGTGCATGAATTTTCATGTACCAGGCCTCTAGTAGAACTGTAATCAAGAGGAAAGGTGACTTTTCTCTGAGGGGGACATGCTGAGGAAGAAGGGGAACAAAGGTGCAGATGAAACACTTGGAAGATGAGTGAGAAGGGAGGATTTTAAGACCAGCTGATTACCATAAGATGAATGCTGAAAAAGAAAATTGGCCTTTCATTAAGTAATAATGTATCTTCAAAGTGGTGGATTTTTTAAATTTAGCACAAACTTAATGTATCATATTAACCACCAGATGGCATTATATGAACTTTATTTAAGTAATGTATATTAGCTTTACTTTTCATTATTGTGACTCCAATGTGTAGGTATCATGTATAAGAAAAATGTCAGTTATTGAAGTACTTAGGGAAAGTTGCCATATTCAGTTTTTGTTAGTAATATATAACTGGAATGCTGATTCATTTGTAACTTTTGAAATTTCTTCAAAATACAGAAATTTCTTCAAAATGAAATTTATTATATAATATGTGAAAATGAAAAAAAAGATGTCTTCTTTCCTTGATAAACCTTCAGAAAATAAATATAAAGAATGTAATAAGTACAGTATTGATTTTTCTTTTTTTCCTTTTAAATATATTTTATTGATTTTTTACAGAGAGGAAAGGAGAGAGATAGTGAGCTAGAAACATCGATGAGAGAGAAACATCGATCAGTTGCCTCTTGTACATCCCCTACTGGGGATGTGCCCTTGACCGGAATCGAACCCGGGACCTTTCAGTCAGCAGGTCGATGCTCCATCCACTGAGCCAAACCGGTTTCAGCTCTTCTGTGTACTTTTAAAAAAGAAAGAACTTTCATTTGGGTGGTGGGTGTAAGGAAAAATGGTGATAATGGGAAACAGAGGAATTTTAATAAAGAAGTAGGTATTTGTGGCAACTGCAAGCCATCCTCCAATTTCATCCCTAATTGTTTGATCTTCCATTTCAAAATTTTCCTTCTCTAAAAATTCACCTTAGAAAGCCTTCCCCCTTCTTTCAACTAGAATTGATGACATGTAAACACGTAAAAGAAAGTTATTTGCTGTGTATGCTAAGGTGATCTGTAAATTTAAAAAAACATTTTTATTAGTGGAGTCAAAATAAGCTTTTCAATGTGCATAGTATGTTTTGGACAAATTTGGTGGTAAGTTATGATAATATGTATAAAGGAGAGTTTTTAATGTAGAAGGAAAAGTAGTTTGGGTTGCGAGGTTGTAATTGGCCCTGAGAATTAGATAATATGGCCTAATGTGAAGAGTGGAGCAACATGTTTGGACTAGGAGGATAATGAAACCTGAATAGTCCAAGATTTCCACCTTAATCTTGATTTTAACTTTTACCTAATTCACTATTTTTTTTTCTTTTTAAAAATATTTTTATTGATTTTTAGAGAGAGATGTAGAGGGAGAAAGAAACATTAATGTCAGAGTGAAACATCAATTTTGTGCCTCCTGCATGCCCACTCCCCCCGTCCCCGTTGTCCCCCCCAAACCCCCCTAGAATTGAGACTGCAACCCAGGCATGTCCCCTGACCAAGAATCAAAGTGGCAACCCTTCAGTGCACAGGACAATGCCTAACCACTGAACCACACCAGCTGGGGCTATTTATTTATTTATTTATTTAATTTATTTTATTGCCACTGCCCCTGTGATTAATCCCAGATTCCAGCATTCTTTCTTAAGAGTAGTGAAAATGTGTACTTTTAGATTGAATTTTCATTGTGATAATGTATTTCCTGTATTTCCCTTGTTTAAAAACAGTATTGCTTAAGAGAGTTATGTAAAGAAGCTTTATAGATATCTTGCTTATCTTAGGAATTGCATGAATAGTTTGATATAACCATTAGGAAGAAAATAACTATTTTTTATATTACTTATTTCTTCTAGGTATACCTTAGATGAATTTGGAACAGCTAGAAGAAGTACAGTTGTCCGTGGATTTATTGATGCTCTGACAAGAGGGGGCCCAGGAGGTACCCCTAGACCCATTGAAATGCACTCCCATGACCCTTTAAGGTATGGTAATCAGACAATATTGGCTATTTGATGGTTTTATAAAGGGAATCTTTACTAACATTTAGTTATTTGTGTTCATAGATATGTAGGAGATATGTTGGCTTGGCTCCATCAAGCTACTGCTTCTGAAAAAGAACACCTTGAAGCTCTCTTAAAGCATGTAACTACACAAGGTAGGCCCTCTAATTGATATTGCTAATGTCTAAATATATAAATAACACAAGACTTCTCTGTTTTTATACTTACTGATGACTTCCTCAAGGGGATAAACTTTTCTCACCTACAAGGTACAATAAACATCCTAATTAAGTTTCCTCTTCCTGTTTTTCTTTTTCTGCTAATAAACTTTCTTCTCTATCCCCTTTATCCTGTCACACAACTTTTCACACCTTTATAGTGGAACCTTCCATACTGAGTTCTCTGCTTTTCTTTTAAGGCATTGCTTAGCATACATTATCTCAGATCTTCCATGTCACTTCACTTTAAAGGCAGTTTAGGTGTGAGTAAGCTAAGTGCCTTGCTTATGGTCATTAAGCTGCTAAATCTTTGACTCCTACTAACCAACTCTTTTCATTCTTGTGTGGTTTTAAAGATTTTTGCATAATTAACTATATACTAAATGTACTTAAAGTTTTGGTTTCAATTTCAAAGAAGAAAAATTACTATTTTTGAATTGCTAAAGTCTTTTGTTCACAGAAGTTCAGATCTTTGTTTTGACTACCTGAAGTTGAATGTCATCTAGGGGGCTAATGGATAATTAAGCTATTTTATTATTGATATGCAATGAAGATAATTAATATTACTGGAATCACTTCTGTTTTGCATAGCTTGGCCCCTCATTATTCTGGTTCAGCACATGATCTGCACAAGAGGCCAGTGTACAAATTGGTGACAAGACTTAACCTCCTCATTTTTAACTCTTCGGCATTATGATTAGATCAGCATATTTGTTAGATTGACACAAAGTCTGAACTTTTTAAAGTTGGTTTCTGTTATCCAAAGTACCCAGTTTAAGAGAATATATTTCTTACAAATGTTTCAGAAAACTTAATATGAGAGACAATGTTAAGACCTGGGAAGAAAATAGAGTCAGATGAAGTAAGTTATTTTATGGGAATGGCTTAATTCTTCTAAGCCTCAGTTTTACCATCTGTAAAAATGAAGGTGGTTATAAGCAGTAAATGTCAAGTACCTAGGACAGAGCTTGATAAATAGTACTTAGTAAATGTTAGCTTTTCCATTAGATTGCAGGGTATGGTTTCCATTTTCTCACTGCCTAGAATAAGGTGGTTGGAGAACAAATGCTAATAAATCTTCACAGTATTTCCTTCAATTAATATATTTTACACTCTCCTTTGACTCATTTACTTTTTCACAAAAAAATTTTATTCACTTTATCAATCACTATATTAATCAATTTGTTAGTCAAATGAATTGACAAGGCTCTAAACTCAGATGTTAACATAATAATGGCCTAAGAGATATTGAACTTAATAAAATGATTTTTATTTTAAATGTTTTTTACTCATTAGTCATATGTAGTATTTTTTTAGTTTTTTGAAAGTGAAGTATAATATGGAAACATTTTTGAATTATGTTATAATTAATCGTAGGTGTTGAAGAAAATATTCAAGAAGTTGTTGGGCATATCACTGAGGGGGTATGCAGGCCTCTAAAGGTAAAATATTTTGTCTTTATGTATGTCATATGGTATCTAGTTAAACTATGTTCTTATTCTTATGAGTTTAGCCTGAATTAAAGCTGTAATTTTGTCAAATTGACACAGTAATGTAGATAATGAGATATATTTAAAAATAATTATTGTCAGTTTTCTGTCTTAAGAAAATTTGAGACATCCTTAATTTTCTTTTTTATTTTTTTATTTATTTTTTTATTTTTACATATTTTATTGATTTTTTTTTTACTCCCCTCCCTCCCACACATCCCCTCCCTCCCCAGAGTTTTATGTCCATTGGTTGTACTTATATGCATGTATATAAGTCCTTCAGTTGATCTATTATCTCCCACAGATCTTCCTCCCCTCCCCACTGTAATTTGACAGTCTGCCTGTTGCTTTACTTTCTCTATCTCTGTCTCTTGGTTCATCAGTTTATAAAGAGCTTTATCGTCCACCAATGAGTGAGGTCATGTGATATTTCTCTTTCATTGATTGGCTTATTTCATTCAGCATGATGTTCTCCAATTCCATCCAGGTTGCTGCAAATGATGAGAATTCCTTCTTTTTTATGGCAGCATAGTATTCCATTGTGTAGAGAGACATCCTTAATTTTCATTTATTTATTTATTTTTACTATTATGTTTCTAATAGTAATTTGTCAATCACTTGAATTGAAGTAACTAATTTCTGAGTACTTTACAGACTAACAACATATTCCATTTATTTTAATGCTTCAAGTATAGTAAACTTTTCTGATAGCAATAAATGATAAATCCAAGGATAAAAAAGTGTTATTAACAATACTATTTAGTACAGGAAACAGAATTTGAAGTCAAAATTAGAATGCCCACTTTGCAACTTAGTTGTGCTCAATTACTCAAATTGTCTAACTCTTCTGCACCTTAATTTTATCATGTTGAACCTGTATATAAAAATATCCACTATCAAGGGGTATAGGGATGAACTGAGAAAACTGTAGATGAAGTATATAGTTCTTGGCTTCTACAAGGCCTGAAACAGATGTTGTGTTTCTTTATTAAAGAGTAATTTGCAATTGTTGGTTTATTTTTCCTTGTAGACTGACTTCAATTTACTTTATAGACATTGAAATCCAAAAGTTTCATGATTTATTCTTACCGATAATCAAACCCTGACCTCAGTGGATAAGATTGATGCTTAACTACTGAGCTACATTGGCTGGGCTCATTATTCTGTTGATGATTTTTGGTAGTAATTGCTTTGAGACAAGTTTTATAGATAAGTTATTATTTTTTTTATATAAATAGCATTTTTGCTACCTTCTTAATTTCTTCATCTAATTATTGTTTTCAGCTATTAATTTTTAAATATATTTTATTGATTTTTAATAAAGAGGAAGGGAGAGGAATAGAAAGAAACATTAATCAGCTGCCTCCTGCACACCTTCTACAGGGGATGTACCTGCAATTAAGGTACATGCCCTTGACTGGAATTGAATCTGGGACCTTTCAGTCCACAGGCTGACACTCTATCCACTGAGCCAAACTGGTTAGAGCTAGTGATTATTTTTTTGTAGAGTATATCTGTTATTTTTTGTTATTTTTCTATCCCCTATGATTTAATATTCAGAAATCCTTTTTTTAGGAGGAACTTTGTGATTTCTGCCACTAAGTTTTATTATTATAATGCTTTCGTTAACATATGATTAGTGAAGAAAAGTTAAGCTTTTAAGAAATGTTTAATATTTTTCTCACGTGTTTTAATAGGTTCGAATTGAACAAGTAATAGTCGCTGAACCTGGAGCGGTTTTATTATATAAAATTTCTAACCTCCTAAAATTTTACCACCATACAATCAGGTAAGTGGAATGGTTAAATGTGCTTGTTAAACCTGTGATACCTCATTTCAGTTAGAACAGCGTAATATTTTTTTTAATTTAATTTTCATTGTTTGCATTCATCCACATGAATGAATGAACCATATGCATAATTATCTATGTTATTTTTTTAGGTCTATTGTTTCCATTTGCTTTTATTCTACAAACAAAATTATATACATGCTTACATACCTAGATAACATTGTAAATGCACTAGTAAAATAGATTTATAGCACCCAAAGCACAATATATTATACTCAGAATAAGGCATAAGTTAAATATCCTATTCTGGATGTAAATAACATAAATTCTTTTTTACCATTTAGTTTTCTGTTAGTCACAAAACAAAACCATAGCTTTATCTTCTCTAAATAATGTTACTTTAACATCTCTACATAAAAGTTGCTTTAGTGTCTCTAAATAAAACCTACTTTTATCTGGTTAGGGACCATTTGTTTTATCCTATATAATAAAAGCATAATATGCTAAATGTCCAGTTGACCAGTCAGCTGTTCACCAGTCAAAGGCCACTTAACCGCTTGCTATGACATGCACTGACCATCAAGGAGCAGACAGTCAACCGGTTGACAAGTCACTATGGTTTGCACTGACCACCAGGGGGCAAATGCTCTGACTGATAGGTTAGCTTGCTGCTGGGGTTCAGCCTATCAGGACTGAGCAAGATGATCCGGACACTCCCTGAAGCCCTCCGTGGTTGGCCTGGCCAACCTCCCACATTTCTTCCCAGTCCAGATTGTGCACTGGTGGGATCCCTCGGCCTGGCCTACACCCTCTTGCAATCTGGGACCCATTGGGGGATATTGGAGAGCTGGTTTCAGCCTGATCTTGGAGACCAGGCTGAGGGATGCTACTGGTGCACAAATTTGTGCATGGGGCCTCTAGTTTAAAATATAATCTTTGATTCCAAAGTTTGCATTTATTTTAGCTTTGCATATATATATATATATATATATATATATGTGTGTGTGTGTGTGTGTGTGTGTGTGTGTGTGTGTATTGATGGTATACACCTATATCTGAACATTATTTATAAACTAGAGGTCCAATGCAAGAAATTCATGCGCAGGGGGCGGGTCCCTCAGACCAGTCTGCACCCTCTCCAATCTGGGAACCCTTGTGGGATGTCCAACTGCCTCTCGCAATCTAGGCCTGCTGGGTCCTAACCATTCTCCTGCCTGCCTGCCTGATTGTCCCTAACCATCTCTGCCTCTCCCGCACCTGGGACCCAGGATTCTCTCCTACAGCCAGTTGCAGGTACCCAGGATCTGGGCTGGCTTCGCCCAGTCTGGCTGCACCCTCAAGGCACTGTGGGTGGGTGGCTTCGTCTGAGCTGCAGCCGCAGGCGCCAGGACCATGATGTGGGCAGCTTGTCCCTTTCCTGGGCTGCAGCCGCTGGTGCCTGGGACCACGGCACAAGCAGCTGGTCCCCCTCCCAGGCCTCAGGTGCAGGCATTGGTGTCCGGAACCACAGGGCAGGCAGCTTGTTTCTCTCCCGGCCACAGGTGCAGGCCCAGTCTCTGGCACCCAGGATCATGTTTGCAATTGAAAAGTCCTGTGTTCTGGGATTAAAGAGTAAAAACAAAGATAAAACATACCAAAAACAAGAAGGAAATCCTCCTTTCTCTCCTCACAGCATCCTGCTGCTTTCCCCTTGTAGCAGCCCTGTTTCTTCTTTACACATTTGGATGTTAAGCTTGTTGCCAAGGGATGCAGCTTTGGTGCTTAGCCTGGGCATGGTTTCTATTCTTCTGAGGGAGCTGGCACTCCGGTAATGCAGCTTCTTCCTCTACCTCTCGGCCTGCCAGCCCTCTCAGACCCACGTCCTGTTGTTCCTTGTGGTCTCTAGGTGTTTTCTGCCCTTCCTTTTTGTACCTTGTCTCCTCAGTTGTTCTTAGTTTGTTCATTCTGGTTGGTTGTTTTCCGATTTAGTTTGTATTTCCGCCTGTCCTGGGGATGAGGTGCATAACACGTCTGCCTATTTGGTCTCCATTTTTCCAAGTTTTAGATTTTTATGCTGAGTGGGTTAGGGAAGATGTGGGAGAGTTTTGAAAGACTTGAGCTGATTTATGATTAATTTGACTCTGAGTACTCTGCAGATAATATAGTGGGCCAAAAGGGAAACAAAGAAAGCATTTAGGAAGCAGTTTGTGATGGTCTTGGAGGTGGTGGAATGTTGTTGGTTTTGGACATATTTGATGTTATAGCCAGAAGGACATATCTGTGAACTAGATTAGGTCAGCTCTGAATAGTTACATGCTTGTGATATTTATTAATTTAGTGGTTAAGAAGAGACGAAACCCCAAAGAAAACTGGGAAAGAATATAGGCACTGAAGTTGGGAAAAAATAGATAATGCAAGTTCCAAAAATTTTTTTCTCCTATATATTAAAACTGCTGGAGGATATAGATTCTATCACAATGCAAGAGTAAACCAAAAGAGGGAAGATTTGAAATCCAGGAAACAGGGAGTTCAGTATACTTTGTTGCATTTTCTTTCTGATAAAACATTTTCTTTCTGTAGTTAATAACTGCTTGGTTTTATACTTGTTTACTTTTCTGTGTCCTTATCACTGTTTTAGACCTAAACTATTAAGTAGACTCTGCATTTTTTACCATATATTCAAGAACATCCAGCTTACCTTCTCTTTTCTCTTCCCCACATCCCTCTCAGAGCCCTCATTCTGCTATTCCAATCTAAACTAGTTGCTCTCTAGGCTATTGCGTGAACATTACCCTAGGGTTTGTCTTCTCATAAGCCTGCTCATTCCCTTGTGTTGGATTCCCTGATTTCTTGGTCAGCTCTGAATAGTATTTACTTGCTTGTAATAATGAAACATTGAATATTTATTTACTGGAGTGTTATGGTATAACAATTAGGAAACCTGGGAAAGATGAAGGTTCATGTATTGAGTTGGAGGAGGAGCATTGTATAAGAGAATTTAGCTCTCATCTTCTATATCAGGGAATTTGTATGTAATACCTAACATTGAAAAATTAAGTAATAAGAGTATGAAAAATTGGGTAGAAATATGAAGTGAATGTTGAATCCCTATGTTGTACACCTGAAACTAATATAATATTATAGGTCAATTGTACTTTTAAAATAAGGAAAAAAGAAATAGAGAAAGAAGGGAAGGAGGAAAGAAATAAGAAAAGAGAAAAAGTGAGTGATTAGAAACTATGAATTGGTCTTCAAAATACATGACAAGTTAGATAATGACTGAGAGGTCATGATAATAAGGATTAGCCTTTGTATTGATGGCTTTAAAGAAATCAGAGTGGGCTCAATGGAAATTGGTTTCTGAATCCAAATAAATTCAGGCAGGGAGCCTAAAGGAAAAACAAAACAGAAAAGCATCTACAAGTATCTGGTCTGGTTACTGATGTCTAGTGATTACTTAGTAAATGTTAGTAAATTCAAGATCTGAGGAATTGCAAAATTGATAACTCAAGTTTTTAAAAATAAATGATGTAAATGTATATATATTGTTCTCCAAATTTTTCACTAAAATATCAGTTTCTTTTTATATCCATTTAATTTTCTTTTCTCTTCCCTTGATGTATTATACTTTTATTAAGAGGCATACTTATTTTTATTATATGGCTAGGTATATGTGGAAATTCCAATTTATTTTGGTGTTTAGCTTATAATATTTTTAACTGAGATACTTTAATTTTCAAAAAGTACAATATTACACGTCCCTATTTAGGAATCTGCTTTTACTTTACTGTTTATATATTTTTAAAATTGATCATTTGCTTTGTCTCCATTAACTTTAGAAATTTATCCCAACATATTTTCATTTCAGAATATATTAAAATATATAGTATTAGTGTTTTATAACATATGTAGTGTGTCAGTTCTCAATTTGCTGTATTTTTGTTTATTATCTACTGTTATTTATTAATAACATTATATGTATTTTTAGTAATCTAAACATTTTTTAGTATAGTAAGTAATATGTTATTTTGCCTGTGGAAATTATTCCCTTTCAGGATTACAGTATATTTTTGCATCAACAAAAACCCTTTTCTCCTAAAAACACATTTCAAAATCACTTTCAATACATGAATTAGAAAAATCAAATTGGGAATTTTCTTATATACATGCTTGTCTTATATCCTTTGAAAAATGGGAAACCGCATTGGATGGGTCTAAAGAAATATTCTTGTAATGGTAAATTGAGAAGTGCAGATGGCCTGATTATTATTTCAAAATATCACATTATTCATAATTAGTCTAAATATATATCTGTCACTTAGGTAGCTTTAACATTTTTGAGAAAGTGTAATTTATAGGTGTGTTACTGATATGGTATAACAATTTTAATTCAAAGAATAACTCAGTATTAATTAAGTTTAAATGTTATATCAGTAGAACTATTGATGGAATGGTTTTCCTACAATTAAAATTATATATTCTTGGATAAACAAGTCATGTATTTATGTTAGTAGTGGAAAAATAAGAAATATAGGTTTGCATATTATGAGTCTGTTCTAACCCACTGTTTGTTTGTTTTTAAGAGATTGTGATGTATTAAAAATGTAATACTTTGCTGAAACCAGTTTGGCTCAGTGGATAGAGTGTTGGCCTGTGGACTGAAAGGTCCCAGGTTCTATTCTGGTCAACGAAATGCACTTTGGTTGAGGGCACATCCCAAGTAGGGGGTGTGCAAGAGGCAGCTGATCGATGATTCTCTCTCATCGATGTTTCTAACTATCCCTCTCTCTTCCTCTCTGTAAAAAAATCAATAAAATATATTTTAAAAAAAGTATAGTACTTTATTTTCATTTCTTCATTACTTACTCAAAATGAAAAAACAAAGATAAAAAATACACCAACTCTCATTTTTATGTGAAACCAGAGTAATTGGTTTTAATTCACAGTTACTGATGTAAATTTTTATACCATTATGAGTCTTCTATATAAAAACATTTTTTCTATTTGACTTTGGGTGGTGGGCACACAATGCAATAAACACTTCATTTATATAGGAATATACACTTGCAATCTGTTAACAGTGTCATCCCAATAAATGTAATAAAATAAACTTTTATTTAAATCTATATATTTCTAAATAATTTTATTCAATTAAATAACTGAATTGATTTAGCCTGTTTTACAACCTGAAATGTTCTTTGCTTTTAGTGGCATTGTTGGAAATAGTGCAACCACATTGTTGACTACCATTGAAGAAATGCATTTGCTAAGCAAAAAAATATTCTTCAATAGCTTGAGTCTTCATGCAAGTAAATTAATAGACAAGGTATGTTTGAAAAATGCAATTTTTAAACTATTTGAATGTGTGTCTTTCACATTTAATGTTTTGCTGATTTTACACTGGGTGATTTTTTTTTTCTCATTCCATAAAATGTTTTCTTGAGTTCTTCCTATGAATAACAAAATTCATTTTGAGATGCTTACTGGATGTAGGTTTATATCCTGTATTCCTGGAAGAGCATAACATTGAGTCATAATTGGAGATAGGATCTTAAGTCCTAGTTTCACTACTGTTTTTCTATAACCAAAATTTTGTAACTAAATCAATCTTACTGTATTTAGGTCAGGGCTAAAATTACTACTTAGAAAACTGGAACTCTTACTTAATGTTTTTAAAACAGCTTATTGTGATTTTACTCTCTGATGGTCCAGCTTTGTCTTTATAAAATGTATGCTCCTTTGAATTTAGTACTATAATTTATTACGGAAATAAACATGATAATAACCCCTTCCCCAAGAAATAAAACCAAATAAGTAACAGCAACAGAAACCTGAAAGAATCCTATGAGAACTAATATTTTAAATTGAGCAGTGTGTTGTGACAGGACCTAAAGGAATGAGTTTATAGTGATTAAATTTTTTTCTTTTAGTTATTAAAGTCTAAAGTTTTTCAAGGATGCATTATAGTCACTATGCTGGCATCTTCTTTTCCTTTTTAACTATGTTATTGTATCTAATAGCCTGGATATATTAGGCACAGGTTTTGAGAAATCTTAATGGTAAATGGGGTCTTTGTGATGGTACTAGATTTATTAACAAAAGGCTGCAATCTAACATAATCAAAGCTGAAATATTCACAGGATCTGCAGAAGAAGATGTTGTTCTGATTCCAAGAATTGATTTGTCCCCTTCTGACACTGGCCTCCCATTTAAATTAGTTCAAAGACAGTTTCTTATGATGCAATGACTATTAATAAATCACAAGGACAAACTCTAAACAGAGTAGGCATATTCATACCTGAACCCATTTTCGCACATGGTCAGTTATAAGTTGCTTTCTTTTGAGTTCAAAGAGTGTGTGACGTTAAAGTTAAAGCAGTGGCTAAACCATACCTTATTTTAGGTTGAACTCCCACCACCTGATCTTGGACCAAGTTCTGCATTAAATCAGACACTCATGTTGTTGCGTGAAGTTTTGTCATCTCATGATTCCTCAGTTGTACCATTAGATGCCCGTCAAGCTGATTTTGTGCAGGTATGTTGTAAATTTGTTTTTAATTATTGCTTATTACTCTTCTATTGTAAATTCCATTGAAATTCTGGTATTTTATGATCCATATATTTTGACAAACCTTTTCATTGTGTTTTTTTTTCAAATATTAAATTAGTTATCTTTAATTTAAAAAATACTCATACCGTTATGCTCATTTAAAAAAGTATTCTGATTATTATACCATTTAATCTTTTCTTATGTGATTCTGAAAGTTGGCACCTTTCAAATTAGTTTGACTTTTATTCTGAAGTGCCATTAACCATTAGCATTCTGTATAGGCCTGTATCACTGATTGGGAATTAAAGAATAATTTTTATTTTATATTTCATTTACAGGTTTTATCATGTATCTTGGATCCTCTCCTTCAGATGTGTACTGTGTCAGCCAGCAATTTAGGCACAGCTGACATGGCAACTTTCATGGTCAATTCACTGTATATGATGAAGACAACATTAGCTTTATTTGAATTTACTGACAGACGTCTAGAAATGCTACAGTTTCAGGTTAATTTTGCCATAAAATGACTTCACTGTGATGGAATCATTTTTCTATATATAATCTCAGTTACTAGCCAATGCCCTAATTCCTATTAACTCTTCCTTATAGTCTGATGAAAAGCTGTGTGCGTACACACACACACTCACATTTTAGGGTGTTTTTTTTTGTTTTTTTTTTAATATATATTTTATTGATTTTTTTACAGAGAGGAAGGGAGAGGGATAGAGAGTTAGAAACATTGATCAGCTGCCTCCTGCACATCCCCCACTGGGGATGTGCCCACAACCAAGGTACATGCCCTTAACCGAAATCGAACCCAGGACCCTCGGTCCGCAGGCCGACGCTCTATCCACTGAGCCAAACCAGTAGGGCAATCATTTAGTTTTGCTTTGGAGAAGTCAGAATATGTTATGGGTAGATAGTATATATAGTATGTAATGGTAGAATAAAGCTTTTCTGATTAATTTGAACATTCTGTATGCAGATTTCAGTTTCTGAACTGAATATGGTGTGGTGTGGCAAGTGCAGAAGGTGTATAAACCAATGTTAGGTAAAACATTACAATTTATTATATCAGTCACTCTCTTCCTTATCCAAATGGTATCACTTAGCATTTTATAAAATGGCTAAAAAAGCCTTGTAGAAAATTTACCAGATACTTGAATTCTGATTTTGAAATAGTGATTATTGGTAGATATACGTAATTTTTAAAAACCCTGAATGTTGTGTTATCACAAATATATGAACAGTTTGCCAGTGGTTACAGTAAACATTTATTTGTAAAGTTTTGTGGTTTTCTGAAGAATGAGTGTGCTCCCTCTAAATTAGTGATATTTTCTATTTAAAAAGAAATATAATGAAGTATGATTAATTTCCCTTTCTTGCATAGTTTTATATAAAATTAGTAAATTTATTTTTAAGCATATTAGTTTTTACTCTACTTATCATTATTTCAATTTCAAATTCTTTCATTTGTCTAAATCTTTTTTTTAGGTATTTAAGTATATCAGGTATTTATCAATCTTTTATCACCAATTACCTGCATTTCTTAAATATTCATAGATTTATTTATTTATTTATTTTGCATTTCAAGAGAGCAGGCCCCACTGTGTAAGTGCTTAGGTGTGCACTTGCATTCTGGCTGGTGCTAGTGGCATGGACCAACCCATAGTGTGTGAACGGATTATACAAGGATGTGCATACTAGGAGACATGGTTTATCAGGCCCCGAAAATTAGCAGTTTACTTTGTTGAGTAAAAGTTCCTTGATTGTCAGACCTTTTCTTTTTCTACTCTGACTCAGCTTTACTTAGTGTTTCAAGTAAAAAGTCCAGGCTAGTCTTTTTCTCTTTTGTTTGTGACAATCTGTTTTATCCATCTGGAAACTTGTGAGGCTGTTCCTTTGAGATTATATATATCCTCAGAATATTTTTTGATATATCTCTTTTTCCCTTATTTTTATATTGAACTTTCCAGAGCCATTTCAGTCTGAAGATTTAACCCTTTCTTTTTCTCAATACAGTTTGTATTATCTTTAATTATTCTTCATCTATTATTTTTGTATCTGAAGCTCCAGTACTTATTTGACTTTATCTATTGAGTCTATATTCTAATTTCTTTTTAAACCTCTTCACTGTAATCTATTTCTTTGATGTTTATTCCATGTTACTTTTCTTCCATTTTTCTTTTAGATACTAATTTGGATCTTATCAGTAACTCTTTCATTAAATGTTTACATTTGCACATTTTGTTTTTCTTTGATTCCCAGTAAATCTAGTAAGGACTCATTTACTTAAAAAAATAAAAATAAAGTACTCTGTGTCTTTCAGTAGTGTTACCTCGAGAAGAGATACCTATTCTGATTATTCAGATGTGTTTCCTCTTAGAAGCTACTCACCTCTTTTTAAATCATTTTTAAGTTTTAAAACGGGCTCCTATTGGAGTTACTTAAGTCAGTGGCAAGCATTCTGATGGTAATAGCACAGTTAGTAGTGTACTGTGTTACTGGCAAACAAACTGGTAAAACTGAGGGAACTTCTTGTGAGGAATAGAAGAAGACCTCCAGACTCTCAGGCCTATGCTGGTAAAAATAAGGGAACAGCAGATTTCTTCCCACTAGGGAATATTTCAACCCAATAGGGTAGTTCCCTTCTGTGCCTTCTGCCTCTGGCTTCCCAAACAGCACAAAGCAGCTAGCACATACAAGTCATTTCTGCTACCTGGGTCTTAGGCAGCTCTTGAACCTGAAATCTTTAATCTTCCTCAACTCTCCTCTTGTTGTCACAGATCTGCTTTCTCCTCAGAGAACTTACTGCCTCAGCCCTAATGGAATTTAATTCAGGCTTTTCCAGTTGGCATATTTGAGTGTTGGAGTCAGGCTAGATAGTTAGGAGGGTGAGGGAGTGAGGAGGTTAAGAACATCAGGCCCTTACTTTTCCCAGAATTGATTTCGGAGAGGTAGGGAGAGGAAGAAAGAGATTGAAACATAATTGATGAGAAATAATCATTGAGTGGCTGCTTCCTGCATACCCCCTACTGGAAATTGAGCCTGCAACCTGGGCAATCAGGTTTGACTGGAATCGAACCTGAGACCCTTCAATCCCAGGCTGATGCTCTAGTCACTGAGCCAAACCAGCTAGGCCTTATTACCAGCTTTTAAAAGAGCTGAAAAGCAACTCAAAATTTTGGACTAATGGCTAGTCTTGGAATCCTCTTTAATTGTCTTTGAAAGTAAGGCTTTTTCTCCTTTTTGTAGTAGGACTTCCTCTTTCGGGGAAGGAAGTGCCTTTGTTACAGAAGCAGTCCCTGTGCCCTATAGTCTGGTATCATAACTACTTCAAGAAACAGCCCCATGGTGAAGAACTAAGACTGCAGGATAGTCTATGTCTACTCGCATCGGTCTTATAAGTCTTTTAAAATATTTTCTTTTTATTGTGTTTTATCTTAGGTTGAAGCACATTTGGACACACTTATAAATGAGCAAGCTTCTTACGTTTTAACTAGGTCAGGATTGAGTTACATCTATAACACCATACAGCAACATAAACCTGAACAGGTAAGCATGTGGATGTACCTAATAATAATTAGAGAAATACATCAGGTTAGAGTATGGATTCTATAATTAGACTCTGGTTTGAATCTTGGCTCTTCCACTTAATAGCTGTTTTTCACTAAGAAAATGACGTATCTCCGTTTCTTCTTTTGTAGATTGGGGTAATAATATGTGCTTCAAAGGGTTGGTCTTAGAGTAAATGAGATAATACCTACATGTATGGTTCTATGAATTATCTTTTTATTATAGACAGTTTGAGTTAAAAGTAATGAAAATATATAAAAATTTTCCTGGAATATCCTGGAAAAAATTTTAGAGCCCTATATCATTATCAGTTAATTGAACTCAGACATTACTATTTGAATAGTAGTCATCTCTTTTTTAATTTAGCAAATCATGGTATATTACTCTAGAAAAGTAAATACTTATGAAGCCAGTATATAATCTTATTAAGTTATAGAATTCCAATAGAAATTCATAATGGAGTGGTGGAAACCCTTGAAAATTAGGTAAGTAAGCATCTTTCTTTAAAAAAGTAAAGGGCTCTTTTAAATGATGTTAACATGAAGAATATATTACAATGGGGGTATAAGAACACATGTAATATCTTAATAAAGAAAAAAAGGAATATTTTATATCCCAGCAATTTTTAAATAAAGCTGTAAAAAATCTTAAGTTTTCTCTTATGATACAGCAGTAAGCAAATTTCTTCCCTAAGGAACCAACATGTTGTATTTTTAAACTATAGTATAGGAGTGGTGCACAAAATTTGTGTACAGGGAAGGGTGTCCCTCAGCCCAGCTTGCACCCTCTCCAATCTGGCACCCCTCTACAGATGTCCGACTGCCCATTTAAACAGGCTGTCAGACATGCCTCTCAATCCAGTACTGCTGACTCCTAACTGCTTGCCTGCCTGGTTGCTTGCCTGCCTAATTGCCCCTAACCACTCCACTGCAAGCCTGATTGACACCTAACTGCTCCCCTGCTGCCCGATTGCCTTTAACTGCTCTCCCCTGTTGGCCTGATAACCCCCAACTGCCCTTCCTTGCAGGCCTGATTGCCCCCAGTTGCCCTCCCTGCAGGCCTGGTCCTCCCAACCATCCTCCCCTGCTAGCCATCTTGTGTCCACATGGGGGCAGCCACCTTGTGTGTTGGAGTGACAGTCAATTTGCATATTATTCTTTTATTAGCTACGATAAAGTTGTCAAAATCTAACACTTAAAGACTCCATGTCTCATTGCCATTCTCTAACTGCCTGATTGCATTTTTTCATTTTTTGCTTATGTGAGATATCCTGATTTTTCCATTGTTAATATGCGCTTTTTACTCTCTCCAACAAATATTATTGAGTGCCTTTCTGCTACTTATATAAAATGAACACATCACGATCCCTGTTATAATTGAGGTTGAAGAGATGACACTTGAGTTCTTTGGAAATAAGCTAAATTTCCAAATGTAGGCAATTCACTAATGGACTATCTACACTGAGTGGCCAGATTATTATGATCTTTGAACACATCTGGCTACTCAGTGTGTGTGTGTGTGTGTGTGTGTAGTATATTAGAGGCTCAGTGCATGAATTGGTGCATAGGTGGGGTCCAACAAGCCTGGCTGGAGGAGGAAACATGGGCAGTTGGCCGCCCTGCCTGCTGATAGAACTCCTGGTCAAGGGAACAATTTGCATATTAGCCTTTTATTACATAGGATATACACTGAGTGGCCAGATTATTAGGCATTTTGAGATCATAATAATTTGGCCACTCAGTGTATATTGTAAAAAGCCAGTAACCAGAATGCTGGAACGACTAGAATGACCAGTCGCTATGACGCCCACTGCAGCCAGTGAACTGGCCCAATCTGGGGTAGGGCCAGCCTCCAACCTCCCAGGGTCCTTAACCCCAGCTGGCCCTGCCCCAGATTGACCTCTCCCACCCTGATTGAGGTCGGGATGGCTGGCCAACCTCCTGCCCCTGTGGCCCTTCCCCCTGGCTGGCTCAGCTCCTGATCTACCCACACACACATAATAGGGAATATGGCCAGCTGGCCACCCTCCGGCAGCCTCTCCCCCATCCCGGCCGGCTCCGCCCCTGATAGGCCCCCACCAACCCATCAAGGGCAGGGCTGATTGGACAACCTCCTGAGGCCCCTCTTCCCAGCCAGCTCTGTATTGGACCCACATACATCAGTCAGGGGTGGGGTAGGTCGGCTAACCTCCACAGCCCCTTCCCCGGCTGCCGAACCTTGATCAGTCCCCCAACCCCAATCAAGGGTGGGGACCACCAGTTAACTGCCCTCGGCCCCTCTCCTCAACTTCACATGACTCCTCCTCCTGACAGGCCCAGTCCCAATCTGCCCTGATTGGGGCCAGGCTGGCCAGATCCCACCTGTGCACAAATTCAGGCATTGGGCCTTTAGTATTTATAAATGAACTGCATGTTTTTTGCATCTTGTTTCCTTTTCTTTTTTGTTTGTTTGTTTGTTTGTTTATTTATTTATTTATTTATTTATTTTAGGGTCCTTTAGCTAATTTTCCCAACCTAGATTCTGTGGCACTGAAGGCTGCAATGGTAAGTTCATAATAAAGTATTTCAATATAGGTTTTCTTACATAACATAATTCTTTTTAAAAATTTATTTTAGCCGAAACGGTTTGGCTCAATGGATAGAGCGACGGCTTGGGGACTGAAAGGTCCCGGGTTCGATTCTGGTCAAGGGCGTGTACCTTGATTGCGGGCATATCCCCAGTAGCAGGTGTGCAAGAGGCAGCTGATTGATGACTCTCATCTTTCTAACTCTCTATCTCTCTCCCTTCCTCTCTGTACAAAATCAATAAAATATATTTTTAAAAATTATTTTAATTTTATTTTTCAATTACAGTTTACATTCAGTGTTATTTTGGATTAGTTTCAGGTGTACAGTATAGTGATTATACACTCATACTCCATCTGTTATTTCAAGTACCTACCTGACATGATAACTAGTTATTACAATTTCTTGTACTTGTACATCCCCATGACTGTTTTGTAATTACCAGTTTGTACTTTCACCTTCTTCACCAGCCCCTCAATTCCCCTCCCCTCAGGCAGGCATCAGTCTGTTTTCTGTATCTACAAATCTGTTCCTGTTTTGTTTGTTTATTTATTTTGTTCTTTAAATTTCATGTATGAGGGAAATCATATGGTATTTTTTGTTTTTTATTTGATTTATTTTACTTAGCATAATATCCTTGAAATCCATCCATTTGCAAATGGTAAGATTTCATTCTTTTTTATGGCCAAGTAATACATCATTGTATATATGTACTACAACTTTTAAAAAAAAATTTTATTCAGATTATTACTCTCCCCTCCCCACCCATAGCTACCTGCCACTCAATTCCCACCGTAGGCCCTCACCTTCCCACTGTCCTCATCCACAGGTCCAATCTTTGTCCAATCTCTTCTTGCACCACTTCCCTTCCCTCCAAGAATTGTCAGTCTGCTCTGCTCCCTTTCCATGCCCCTGATTCTATTACATTAACCAGTTTATTCTGTTCTTTAGATTTTCTATCCACTTGATTTTTAGATTCACTTGTTGATAAATATGTATTTGTTGTCACTTCGTTGTTCATAATTTTTTATCTTTATCTTTTTCTTTTTTGTCCTCTTCTATTATATTTCATATAATACTGGTTTGATGGTGATTAACTCTTTTAACTTTTTCTTGTCTGTGAAGCTCTTTATCTGACCTTCAATTCTAAATGATAGCTTTGCTGGATAGAGTAATCTTGGTTGTAGGTTCTTGCTATTCATCACTTTGAATATTTCTTGCCACTCCCTTCTGGCCTGCATAGTTTCTGTTGAGAAATCAGCTCATAATCATATGGGTACTCCCTTGTAGGTAACTATCTTTTTTTCTTGTTGCTTTTAAGATTCTCTCTTTGTCTTTTGCCCTTGGCATTTTAATTATGATGTGTCTTAGTGTGGTCCTCTTTGGATTTCTCTTGATTGAGGTTCTCTGTGCTTCTTGGACATGTAAGTCTATTTCTTTCACCAGGTAGAGGACGTTTTCTGTCATTATTTCTTCAAATAGGTTTTCAATATCTTGCTCTCTCTCTTCTTCTGGCACCCCCATAATTTGGATGTTTGTATGCTGGAAGATGTCCCAGAGGCTCCTTACACTATCTTCATATTTTTGGATTATTTTTTCTTTTTGCTCTTCCTGTTGGATGTTTTTTGCTTCCTTGTACTTCAAATCTTTGACTTGATTCTTGGGATTCTCTAGTCTGCTGTTGAATCTCTGTATATTATTCTTAATTTTAGTCAGTGTATGCTTAATTTCTGTGGTTATTTTCTAATTTTTTGGCATTCGCATTAAGATCCTTGAAGGTCTCAATAAGTTCCTTGGAAGTTTCTAGAAGATTCTTGGGTAACCTTATAACTGTGGTTTTGAACTCTATATCCAGTAGTTTGCTTTCATGCATTTCTTTAATTTGTGTCATGTTTCTTTGTCTCTTCATTTTGGCTGCTTCCCTGTGTTTGTTTCTATGTATTGAGTAGCTGCTAAGTCTCCTTGAGTTGATGGAGTGGTCTTTTGTGGTAGGTGTCCTATAGGGCCCAGTGGCTCAGCCTCCCCAATCACCTGAGGTGGATGCTCTTGGTGCACCCCTTTGTGGGCTGTGTGCATAGTCTTGTTGTATTTAAGCCTTCAATGCTGTTGATATCACTGTGAGTAATTGACCTCCAGGCTAATTGGCTGTGAGAACCAGCTGTATCTACAATGAAAGAGCTGCTGGGCAGGAGACACCTTTATGGGCAGGACTTGCTTAAGTGGGGCTTTGGTGCCCACTGAGTCTGTGCAGTGAGTGTGTCACTTACAGATGTGATGAGTTGTAATCTGGTATGGTCTCACACTAACCATTGGGTATACTGGCTCTTGGATCTTCAAGGAGGTGCAAAGTCAGCCACTGCTTTGGATCGCCCAGCATGAGCTACAGAGAAATCTGCAGATTCCTTCTCTTTTTATTGGGTTTGGAAATGCTCAGACGAGACCCACCTGTGTAGCCAGGCTGAGAAAAGACAGTCCATTCATATGCAAAAGCTGTTGGGCTCAGCTCACAATGGAAAGAGAATCTATCCATTTATTATATCAACAGTTACTGACAAAGTATCTGCTGTTTTCTAGGCAATATACTAAAATTGGGATGAAAAGACACATGATCTAGTAAAAGATGCAGCTGTTACACAACTAAATAAATGTCTAAATTATATAGTTATGATTTGTGATAATACTGTAAATTAAATTATACAGATGCAAAATTTGAGAGTCAATCCCTTCATCCTATCACTTACCAAACCTTGATAATTTTACTTTTTAATTCTCTCAAATTTTTCTCTCCTCTTCACCTTTATTGCTCTACTGGAGACCTGGTACACGAAATTCATGCACTGGGTTCTTGGGGGTCCCTCAGCCTGGCCTGCGCCCTCTTGCAGTGTGGGACCCCGCGGGAGATGTCCACCTGCCGGCTTAGGCCCAATACCCCTGTGCTTAAACCAGCACTCAGACATCCCTCTCGTAGTTCAGGGCTCTCATAGTCCGGTACCCCTTGCTCCTTGTGCTCGACACCTGTGAGCCCAGCTTCTGGCTGAGCATGGGTGGGAGGGAGTATTGCTCAACCAGAAGTTGGCTTGCTGTTCCTTAGCACCGTCCTTGCCTCCCACCCACTGGTTAGGGGGGCCAATTAGGGACCGGGCCAGATGGGGGAGGGGACACGGGAGGTTGAGGCGCCATGGTCATGCCCCATCCCACCTCTGTGAGGTGCTGGGACCATGCAGTCCCCTCTCCTACTGCTTCGGCAGAAAGCACAGGCCTATCCCACTGCCTCTCCCACCACCTCTGTGGAAGGGGGTGCTGGGATTGCCATGGCTGGCTTGGCAACACACCATCGCTGGCTCTGCCCCCTGACCACTGGTTATTCAGGAAGGTCATTCTTGCCTCAGTCCTCACAACCCCGGCTTCATCTGGAAAGTTGTCCAGAAGGATGTAGCTCTCTCTTTCTTGTACTTGCAACTACCATTACAACCTTCCCATCCATTCTTCTTGCGAAAGCCAGGTTATTCCCTTGCTTCAGTGGTTTCCTAGTGCTTTTACAGTCAGAATTAAAATCTTTAAAAAAGCATACAAGTTGAACATTAACTATTAGCCATTCTCTTTCTGTCCTTAAGTTTTCATACATGCCATCCCCACTCCCTGAATCCCCCATCATACACACAGTTAATGTCTATTCTTAAGATCTTACTTAAAATGTCAAACATACAGAATAGGTCTGTCCTTCCTGTTTATGCTTTTATAGTACTTTGGTTTCTTTCTTACTACCATTTAATACAGTTTGTAAATATATATCTACTTACATTATTATTTGTTTACTACCTTTCTTTACTAGGCTATTAGCTCTATGAGGCTAGGGACTGTCCTCTTTCATTTACCATTATATTTGCATTACCTAATATAGTGTGTCTCTAATGGTAGATGTTTGGTAAATATTAGTTGAGTGAATAAATAACTAATACAATGGATTTTAAAAAGTAAGGTAGATTTGAAATTCGATGAATACTTTTTGCTAATATTATTGCTCAAAAGCTTGGTGAGGGAAATTAATGGTTAAGATTCAGAATTTTAAAAGTAGGTATTACTGCCCTAACTGATTTGGCTCAGTGGATAGAGCATTGGCCTGCGGACTGAAAGGTCCCGGGTTCGATTCTGGTCAAGGGCACATACTTTGGTTTCGGGGACATCCCTAGTAGGAGTTGTGCAGGAGGGAGCTGATCAATGTTTCTCTCGCATTGATGTTTCTAACTCTCTATCCCTCTCCCTTCCTCTCTGTGAAAAATCAATAAAATATATATTTTTTAAAAGTAGACATTGCTGGTTATGACTACATTAAAAAGCTGACACTTTTAGGGAGTTTAGTTAGAATGTTTAAGGAAGTAACTCATTTTGATCACAATGAACTTGTTATTTGGAATGTGGGATTTTGCTGAATATTTAACCCTTAAAAGCTACGGTAATATTGGGTCTAGTAATAATTAATGTCATTTTTAAACATTCGTTTAAAATCTTGCTTGACGTTGACTTGTATTGACATAACCTTCAAACACGTGGTATCTACAGAACGTGTGAAGTACAATGAACAAGTTTTGCTTGAAAAAGTTTGTGTTTGGTTTGGTTTTTGTTGCAAAACTAGGGCTAAGAAGATGGCGGATGAAGAGCATATTCGGCACTGCATGCTTTACGAGTTCCAATTAGGAAGAAAAGCAAGTGAGGCTGCAAAAAACATCTGTAGTGCTCTTGGTCAAGATGCAGTTAGCGCCAGAAAATGCCAGTGTTGGTTTGAGAAATTTCGCGAGGGAAATTTTTCGTTAGATGACAAGAGTGGTTGAGGCCGTGTGTCCAATTTTGATCAAGAAGCTCTTCAAGCTCTTTTGGTGCAAAATCCTCAAATTACCCAACAAGAGCTTGCGACAACTTTAAATTGCTCACAAAAACAATTTCCAATCAATTGCGTGCACTTGGCAAAGTCCAAAAGTTTGGAAAATGGCTTCCTCATGAGTTGACCGACAACAACCGTAATCAAAGAGTCACAATTTGCAGTTCGCTCCTCTTTCATCAAAACCATTTGCCGTTTTTAGAGCAAATTGTTACCTGAGATGAAAAATGGGTGCTGTATGTTAATTTGAAAAGGCGGCCTCAATGGTTGGACAAAAATGAGGCTCCGCAGCCCACGCCAAAACCTGACTTGCATGCGAAAAAAGTGATGTTGTGTGTTTGGTGGAATTTTAAAGGAATTCTTCATTATGAACTTTTACCATCTAACCAAACCATTACAAGTGCAGTGTATAGTGCCCAATTGGAAAGGTTAGCCCAAGCTTTAAGAGAAAAAGAACCCGCGCTGATTAATTGGAAGGGCGTAATTCTTCACCACGATAACGCACGACCGCATACTGCAAGAATCACTGCTGAAAAACTGCGCCAGTTGGAATGGGAAGTTCTCCCTCAACCTGCATATTCTCCTGATATTGCCCCTTCCGATTACCATTTGTTTCGTTCTTTGCGAAACTTTCTTCTTGGAAAAAAATTTAATAATGAAGAATGCCTCAAAAATGCATTGACCGAATTTTTTGCATCAAAATCACAAGAATTTTACAACAGAGGGATTAAAATGCTTCCTGAGCGTTGGGCACAAGTAGTAGAAAACAACGGCAACTATATTGTTGATTAAATTTTGTTGTATTGTTTAAATTCGATTTAAAAAAAAAATATTAGAAAACAACATTAATTAGAACTAGACCTAATATATTTTGAGTTGTCTATTAGGAAATATATGAACTTTATTTTACATTTCTCTGTTTTATTTAGGTGCAGTTTGATCGTTACCTATCAGCTCCAGACAACCTGTTAATGCCACAGTTGAACTTTCTTCTCAGTGCCACAGTAAAGTAAGTATATCTTGGTTCCAATTAGTTGATAAAGATTCACATAATTTTAAATATTTAGCACCTTTCTTTGAAACAAAATTATTTTCATTAATAGGAAACTTACTGTTGAAGATGTATATTTCTCAGCCATTTTTTCTGCCTCAACACCTTTAAAAGAGCAGACCTTACCATATTTGTACTTATTCCTTGCATGCGTATAACTTCAAATATCTCTATTTAGTGAATTATTTTTTAAATTAACATGCATATAACCATGTAACCGTAAAACCAAATTCCCATATGTTAACAAACATGTCAGAGTTTGGAATATGTCATGGAATATTCATTATGTCATGCAGATAACTACTTTATAGACTGTTTTGGACCTACACAATTTCTATAGATATATTATAAAATTGTTCAGTATTATATATTTATCAGGAATGTGTAAACATTAAAGACAAAGAACTGTAAACATTAAAATGTTATGCTATTACTAGAGGCCCAGTGCATGAATTTATGCATGGGTGGGGTCTGGCCAGCCTGGCCCCAGTCGGTGGATCGGGGTTGGGCCTGTCATAAGGAGAAGAAGGATGGCCTGTTAGCCATATCCTCGATTAGTGTTGGGGGGCCGATCAGTGGTGGAGCTGACTGGGAGAGGGGCTATAGGCCAATCAAGGTGGTAGAGGCCATGGGGATAGGGATAGGGGTGCCTAGGGGAGGGCTGCAAGAGGTTGGCCAACTGGCCCCACCCCCTATTAGTGTAGAGGGGCAGATCAGGGGTGAGGCCAGCTGGGGAGGAGGGGCTGCAGGCCAATTGGGGTTGGTGGGGGCCTTTTGGGGGCAGGGCTGACTGGAGATTCGGGCTGTGGGCCAATTGGGGTGGGGCAGGCCAGTCAGGGGGAAGGGCTGTAGGGGAAGGTTGGCCAGCCACCCTGCCCTCGATAGGGTGGAAGAGTCCAATCAAGGGTGGGGCCAGCTGGCCAACCTCCCACAGCCCTCCCCCCAGCAAGCCCCATACCCCGATCGGGCCAGTTCCCTGGCCGCAGTGGGCATCATAGAGACTCGTTGTTCTAGTCCTTCCTTTCAGCATTCCAGTTGCTGGCTTTTTATGTAAATAGACTATTGGCCTGGTGCATTAAATTTGTGCACAGCTTTTTCGCAACGGATTTGCTGCCAGAACACAGGTGTCGTGAAAACCACCATTAACTCAAACCCAAGATGGGAAAGGAAAAGACTCACATCAACATTGTCGTCATTGGACACGTAGATTCCAGCAAGTCTACCACTACTGGCCATCTCATCTACAAGTGTGGTGGGATCAACAAAAGAACCATCGAGACATTTGAGAAGGAGGCTGCTGAGATGGGGAAGGGCTCCTTCAAGTATGCCTGGGTCTTGGATAAACTGAAAGCCAAATGGGAGCGAGGTATCACCATTGATATCTCCCTGTGGAAATTGGAGACCAGCAAGTATTATGTGACCATCACTGATGCCCCACGGCACAGAGACTTCATCAAAAACATGATTACAGGCGCATCTCAGGCTGACTGTGCTGTCCTGATGGTTGCTGCCGGTGTTGGTGAATTTGAAGCAGGCATCTCCAAGAATGGACAGACCCATGAGCATGCCCTTTTGGCCTACACACTGGGTGTGAAACAGCTGATTGTTGGTGTCAACAAAATGGATCCCACCGAGCCACCCTACAGCCAGAAAAGATACGAGGAAATTGTTAAAGAAGTCAGCACCTACATTAAGAAAATTGGCTACAACTCTGACACAGTAGCATTTGTGCCAGTTTCTGGTTGGAATGGTAACAACATGCTGGAGCCAAGTGCTAATATGCCTTGGTTTGAGGGATGGAAGGTCACCGTAAAGATGGCAGTGCCAGTGGAACCACACTGCCTGAAGCTCTGGATTGCATCCTGCCACCAACTCGCCCAACTGACAACCCCGTGTCTGCCCCTTCAGGATGTCTACAAAATTGGTGGTATTGGTACTGTTGCTGTGGGCAGAGTGGAGACTGGTGTTCTCAAGCCCGGCATGGTGGTCACCTTTGCTCCAGTCAATGTTACAACTGAAGTAAAGTCTGTTGAAATGCACCATGAAGCTTTGAGTCAAGCTCTTCCTGGGTACAATGTGGCCTTCAACATTAAGAACGTGTCTGTCAAAGATGTTCGCGGTGGCAATGTGGCTGGTGACAGCAAAAATGATCCACCAATGGAAGCAGCTGGCTTCACAGCTCAGGTGATTATCCTGAGGCCAGATCAGTGCTGGATTGTCACTCAGCTCACATTGTTCTAGATTGTCACTCAGCTCACATTGCTTGCAAATTTGCTGAGTTGAAGGAGAAGATTGATCGTCGTTCTGGGAAAAAGCTGGAAGAGGGCCCCAAGTTTTTGAAATCTGGTGATGCTGCCATCGTTGATATGATTCCTGGCAAGCCCAGGTGTGTTAAGAGCTTCTCTAACTACCCTCCTCTGGGCTGTTTTGCTGTTCGTGACATGAGACAGACAGTTGCTATGGGTGTCATCAAAGCGGTGGACAAGAAGGCAGCTGGAGCTGGCAAAGTCACCACGTCTGCCCAGAAAGCTCAGAAGGCTAAATGAATATTATTTCAACACCTGCCACCCCAGTCTTAATCAGTGGTGGAAGAAGGTCTCAGAACTGTTTGTCTCAATTGGCCATTTAAGTTTAATAATAAAAGGCTGGTTAATGGTTACAATACATCGTAAAAACTTCAGAAGGAAAGAAGAATGTTTTGTGGGCCATTTGTTTCTTTTGTGTGTGTGACAGTTTTTAAGTTATTAGTTTTTAAAATCAGTACTTTTTAATGGAAACAACATGACCAAAAATCTGTCACAGAATTTTGAGACTCATTAAAATAACAGTTTAATGAGAAGAAAAAAAAAAATTTGTGCACAGAGGGGCTGTTCCCTCAGCCAAGTGGGACATCCCTCTCGCAATCTGGGACTCCTGGCTCACCTGCCTGCCTGATTGCCCCTAACCCCTCTGCCTGCCTGACTTATCACCCCTAACCTCTCTGCCTGCCTGCCTGATCGCCCCTAACTATTGCTACCTGCCTGTCAGCCTAATCTCACTCCCAACTGCCCTCCCCTTTCAGCCTGATCTCACCCCCAACTGCCTTCCCCTGCTGGCCAATTTGGTTCTGATTCTTCATTTTCTATGCCATTCAATATCAAAGCTCCGCCTTCTAAGCAGACATTTGCTCCTCACAGTTGATCCAGATTTAGTTCTGACTGGCCAATTTCTGTGCCAGTTAGCATCAAAAGCTCTGCCTCCTAGGCAGCCATTGGCTCCTCACAATTCACTCAGATTTGGTTCTGATTGGTCAATTTCTATGCCAGCCAGTGTCTCTGAGCCTATCTGTGGGCCTGGTTAGAGAGGCAGGGCTGATCAGCAGCCCCCCACAGAGGCCTGGAGAGAAACAGAGGCGTGGCTGCTGGCGAAGTCTAGAGAGAAAGAGAGAAGCAATGGCTAATCAACATCTGCCACAGAAGCTGCGGATTAGACCCTGGCTCTCTCTCTGGGCCTCTCTCTGGGTCTGATCTTCAGTCCCCTCGGCAGTCAATGCTGGGTTGCTGCACCCCACTGACTGCAGGACTGACTTCCATTGTTCTGGCGAGCCTTTAGTCAGTAAAGTCAGTGGAGTGCTACCATCCCCTACTATCGATATATTGACTGTGTTGCTGTCAATCTCTAACAGAAGGTCCTCCATAAAGTTTTTAAATATATTTAGGTGCTCCTATATGAGGTGTGTATATACTAGTATGTTTACCAGGGTTATATCCTCTTGTTAGATCGATCCCTTTAGAAATATGCAGTGACCTTTGTTGTTTTGTGTAATGGCCTTCATTTTGAAGTCTATTTTGTCAGATACAAGTATTGCTATCCTAGCTTTTTTTTGTATACATTTGCAAGGAAAAATTTTCCCACCCCTTCATTCTCATGCTGTGTGAGTCTTTTTTTCTGAAATGGGATTCTTGTAGACAGCATTTTTGGGTCATGTTTTTGTATACATTCAGTCACCCTTTGTCTTTTGATTGGAGCATTTAACATGTTTACATTTAAGGTTATTATTGAAAATTTGTGCACAGGGGTGGGAGGAGGGGGGAGAGGGTTGTTTCTCAGCCCAGCCTGCACCCTCTCCAATCTGGGACTCTTCGAGGGATATCTGACTTCTCGTTTAGGCCCAATCCTGGTGGGCAGTTGGACATCCCTCTCACAATCCAGGACTGCTGGCTCCCAACTGCTTGCCTGCCTGCCTGCCTGATTGCCCCTAACTGCTTCTGCCTGCCAGCCTGATCACCCCCTAACCACTCCCATGCCAGCCTGATTGATGTCTAACTGCTCCCCTGCCAGCCCGTTTGTCCCCAACTTCCTTCCTCTGCCTGCCTTGTTTACTCCTAACTGTCCTTCCCTGCAGGGTTGATCACCCACAACTGCCCTCCCTTGCAGGCCTGGTCCCTCCCAACTGCCCTCCCCTGCTGGCCATCTTGTGGTAGCCACCTTGTGTCCACATATGAGCAGGATCTTTGACCACGTGAGGGCAGCCATATTGTGTGTTGGAGTGATAGTCAATCTGCATATTACTCTTTTATTAGGTAGGATAGAGGCCTGGTACATGGGTGGGAGCCAGCTGGTTTTCCCTGAAGGGTGTCCCAGATCAGGGTGGGGGTTCCCTTGGGGTGTGGGGCGGCCTGAATGAGGGGCCTGTGGTGGTTTTCAGGCCGGCCATCCCCCCCAGTGACCCAAGAGGAGGCCCTGGTATCTGGGATATATTTACTTTTCTACAGTTGAAACTTTGTAGTCTGAAGTCAAGCCTCCTGCTTGCTCCATGTGGCAGCCATTTCTGTTTGGATTTGTTTACCTTCTTAACTGAAGCTTTGTAGTCTGTAGTGGAGGCTTAGGCCTGCTAGGGCAGGCGGAAAGCTTGGCTTCTTCTGTTGCCAGAGAAACCCAAGTCTCTGTGGCCAGAGCCATCTTGGTTGGGGTTAATTTGCATACATGCTCTGATTAGTTGGTGGGCCTGGCTGGTGGGTGTTGCTTGTGGAGCAGAGTGATGGTTTATTTGCATATTACTCTTTTATTGGGTAGGATAGGGACTTTCTTATTGCCATTCTAATTCCTTATGCTTGTGTTTCTCTCTCTTTATTCTCATTACTGCAGTTCCTTTAGCATTTCTGGCAGTATTGGTTTGGTGGTGTTAAACTCTTTTACTCTCTCTTTTTTTTTTTTTTTTTTTTTTTTTTTTTTTTTTTTTGGTCTGGGAAGCTCTTTATTTAACCATCTATTTTGAATGATAGCCTTGCTGGATTCAGATCATTGTTATTCATTACCTTGAGAATTTCATGCCATTCCCTTCTGGCCTGTAGAGTTTCTGATGAGAAATCAGCTGACAGACTCATGGGAACTCCTCTGTAGGTAACAAGTTGCTTTTATTTTGCTGCCTTTAAGATTTTCTCTTTGTCTTTAATTTTTGGCATTTTAATTATAATGTGTCTGGACATGGGCCTATTTGGGTTCTTGGAATTTCGTGCCTCCTGGACTTGTGTGATTTTTTCCCTTCACCAGGTTAGAGAAGTTTTCTGCCATTATTTTTTCAAATACATTCTCTACCCCTTATTTCTCTTCTCCTTCTGGCTCTTCAATTATGTGAATATTGTTACATTTCACGTTGGTCCACAGCTTCCTTAAGCTGTCTTTCTGTTTTTTAATTGTTTTTTCTTTCGGTTCTCTGAGGATTTTTTTTACACCATCTTCTAATTCACTGATCCCATCCTTGACTCCCCCTAATCTGCTGTGTATTTCTTCCAATTTGGTCTTTATTATGCTTTTCATTCTTTATTTCCAACTGTTCTTTTTTTTATTAATTTCTATTATTTTTAAAAAATATGTTTTATTGATTTTTTACAGAGAGGAAGAGAGAGGGATAGAGAGTTAGAAACATCGATGAGAGAGAATTATCGATCAGTTGCCTCTTGCACACTCCCTACCGGGGACGTGCCCACAACTAAGGTACATGCCCAAGCCGAAACTGGTTTGGCTCAATGGATAGAGCGTCGGCTTGGGGACTGAAAGGTCCCGGGTTCGATTCCGTTCAAGGGCATGTACCTTGGTTGCGGGCATATTCCCAGTAGGGAGTGTGCAAGAGGCAGCTGATCGATGACTCTCTCTCATCGATGTTTCTAACTCTCTATCTCTCTCCCTTCCTCTCTGTACAAAATCAATAAAATATATATTTAAAAAAACAAACAAAAAAAAACTAAGGTACATGCCCTTGACCGGAATCGAACCTGAGACCTTTCAGTCCGCAGGCCAATGCTCTATCCACTGAGCTAAACCGGTTTTGGCAACTGTTCTTTTTTAATAGTTGCTATATCTTTTCTCATGATGTTGAACTTATTTACTATCATGAATCTTCACTCTATATTGGTAAATTTCTTACCTTCATTTTGTTTAGCTCTTCTTTTAGAGAATTTTCTTGTACTTTCATTTGGGGCTTGTTTTTTTTTTTTTTTTTTTTTTTTTTGTCTTCCCATTTTGGCTGCCTGTTTGGGTTTGTGTCTATGTATTAAGTAGATCTGCTACGATTCCAATCTCTACTGTAGGACAGTGTCAGATACTATTTTTACTGGCCCTGAGTACCCTGTTTTCAGCAATCCACAGTTTATGCCTCCCTGAGCTGAGGCTGGGTGCCTCCTGGAAAGGACCAAGATGTGTACCATGGACTGCTTTTTTTAGCATGGGGCTTAGTTAGCATGGAGATCAGGCAAAGACTCAAAGCCTCCAGAGACCATCCGCAGCCTACAGTCCGATTGTTATCAGCATAGATTCGCCTTAGACTATCAAACCACAGGGTGGAGTTAGAGGTCTTCCAACAGGGTGTGGCAATTGCCTTTCCCCCAGGCCAAACCATCTGCATAGCAAAGGTCCCTTGGAGAAACTTGTCTGCTGCTGCTGAGAAGTGAAAGAATGAATCAGTACAGGAAACCTGGGTGGCTACCCTTCCAGCTCCAACCTTAGAGCCCCAAACCCAGTACTCTCTTCGCACAGCTTCAGTCCACTCTGCCTTCCCCCTGCCAGAGCCCAAGCTGAGTGGTTGCACATGAAATTTTGTGTGTTGGCCCTTTAAGAGAATGCCTGCATTTCCAGCCATCTCTCCCTGGCAGACAATAACCCTGCTGCTTTTCATAGCCAGATATTAATGTGCTTTGGGCTGGGGAGCCAAGCTGGGATTCTCATTGGGAAGCCCCACAGCTGATATATCCCTCAGGAACCTCAGCTGCTATCTAGCCCAGCCACCCCTTTAGCATCTCCACATTTCCTACCAGTCTCTGGGATCTCCACTTTCTGTCCTTGGTTATCAGGGTTCTCTCCAGCTGGTCTTCAGTTGATTTTTCAGGATGGCTTTTCTGTATTTTAATTGTATTTCCAGTTTGGTCCTGGGAGATTATCAGTGTAGCTTCCACTTACTTTGCCACCATTCTTAAGCTCTTTATGATCCAGTTTAATTTATAAGTAGATATGTGCCCTGAGTTATAAGTAAACTTAAAATTTGTCATCATTGTACTTGAAGGTAAAATTTAAAATATATTACTTCAAAATATTCAGTAATTCATTCTACATTTAATAGTTACCTAGATTTTTTATAATAGTATTTTTATTCATTATTGTACCTTATTCTGATTTTAGACTGGTGAGAAGGAATAGCCTTGTTACTCTGTGTTTTTATGAATATGTTTAAATATACACTATATTTAGATTGAGTATAGATTTTAGAGTATGAAGTGAAAGTAATAAATGCTTTATCAGTATATATCTGCTGAAGTTTGTCCTAATTGTTATAAGTGAATGATATTAAATGCTGTATCTAAAATATCTTCTTTGACTTGAGACAAAATGGGTATCAAATATATCTTATATTTCACACATTTAAAAAAAACCAGTTTATAGTGTTTCTCAGCTATTTGCATCTTCTTGATGCACTCAATGTTAAGCTCAATCAATTATGAATTAGGAATGATCATCAATTAATAGATCAAAACATATTGTAAAGCCTCATCCAGTTAAACAAATTTCCAAACCAGTTTTCACCATTTTTTATTCCAACAAAGGTTAGTATAACTAGTGGCATTACCCACTCTGCTCAGAGAATTTACTCAGCATATTTTCAGTTTTTCCTACTCTCCTTTTGGAAGCTTTACCAATTTGTGGGAAATAATCAATTTGCTTCAATGCACCAGGCGTCTTACAAATGTATTCTTTTGGTTGTGGGAAATTCCAAAAACTGAGTAATTATTTCTAGCTCTGGGGATCAGATAAGACTTTGTAGATAATTTATTATTACTAAGAATTAAGGACATTTTTAAAGGTGCTTGAGAGGTAGGCTTTTCAGGCAAATGAAGGAATGTGAGCAAAAGAATTTAAGTAGCAAGAACAGGGCAGAGAGGACATTCAGGAATTTCTTTGAACTGCAGAATTACAATAGTAATATAGAAAGTATTTTAAGGATTTTGAATGACAGGGTAAGAAATTGTGACTTCTCTGAAACCCGAAGAAGCTATTAAAGCTCTCTGAAGGAAGGCCCTGGGAAAGGAGAGCCATGATAAAAGATACACTTTAGAAAGATTGACAGAAGTGCTTGTGATAAATTTAATGTAGAAAATATTAGAAGAGGAAAGACCAGATAGGAGTTTTCTGTGTACGCCAGGTGAAAGTTCATTAAAGTCTAAACTGAGGTGATAGATTGACAGAAATAAAAAATAGCAAAAAAAAAAAAAAAAAAAGGAGGTTTTGGAGTAAAGCTTGAAAGAAATAAATGCCATGAAAACCTGGAGAGAGTTCATATATATTTAATGAGCCCAATAGTATTTTTTCCTGGCCAGATAATATTTTTCAAAATATTTGCTTTAGTTTATTTAAAACTATTTCTTTTATTTTTATGTGCTATGTACAAACATAGCATATTTGTGACAATGCTATGAGTTGTTATAGGCAAGTGTCAGATTATTTTGGCCTGGTAATATAAACAGATAGATGAGAAATCTAGATGTAGTTGTTGGTGAAGGACTACAAGCAAACCTCAGAGATATTGTTAGTTCATTTCCAGACCACTGCAATGAAAAGAATATCACAATAAAGAGAGTTGATTTTGCCTTCATTTATTTAAAAAAATGCAAGAGAGTTGATTTTGCCTTCATTTATAAAAAAAAAAAAATGCAACATCTATGAAGCACAGTGAAGCAAAACACAATAAAACAAAGTCTGTTAGTATAAGTGAAAAAGCAGTTTATTTTAATGTTATTCTGAGATTTGTAGTATTAATCAGTTTGAGTAATTATAAGCCTCTTTCTTTAATGTGTTATCAGTTGTGTTTGCAAAATCAATACATTGATGGTGGGTCACAGTTTCTGTTTCTTGTTTATATATCAGCCACTGTTCCAGCCAAAAGATAGATAGCAGAGAACAAAATACAGTCCCTGCCTTCCTGAAACCTACATACTAATCAGGAAAATTTAACAAAGAAATAATAAATATAAAACAATTTTTTATTTCAAAACCAAGATAGGTGACTTGTAGCAGTACAGTGATTTTTTATCGGTATGATAATTATGAAAATGAAATGCATTGATTTAAATGTGAAGCTTTCTTACAATTCTTAGTATTTTTAAATTATGTTTTCATATTTTGTTTGTTTATCAATAGAGAGCAGATCATCAAACAGTCTACTGAATTAGTCTGTAGAGCCTATGGTGAAGTGTATACTGCTGTGATGAATCCAGTCAATGAATACAAAGATCCAGAGACCATTCTACACCGATCGCCGCAGCAAGTGCAGACACTTCTCTCCTGATTATATTATTTTAATGTTAGCAAAATATTGCATTCCAAAAACACTGAAGGTTTTCTTGGTATTTAGTCGGTCAATCTTTACTTTGAAATTTGATAGTTACAGTTTTCTTTGTGTCAAAAGATTGTAAGTCCCAATAATTACTTTTTTTTGGTCACAGTATTGTGGAAGTAAGTAACTTATGTTGACCTGAAGTTGCTCCATTTCTACTCTGTATGTAGAGAAGCTCTGTTATTTGCACTCTCCCGCTCTGCTGTTTCCCCTCTATTTTGGAATATGATTATATGGCGAAAAAGGAGTAGATGAAGTTGGAGGGAATTTTTTTTCCAAGATCAGTTTTAAATTAACTATATCTAAAAAAATAGATTTAAGAATTAGTATGAGGATATGTCACTTTACCTAAAGACTTTTTTGCTTTCTCATTAGTTATGTGAATAGGAGCACTTACATTGAGGAGCAGGAATGTACACTCAGCAAAAGCAGGCAGGGTAAGAAATAATTTAAACTGTGTGGATTCCACTCTGTGTATGCCTTGAGCTTAGTTCAGTGTGAAGTTTAGCACTTAGAATGGGGTTTAGGTGTGTAGACATTCTGTACTGCATAAAACTCTAGTCTTTAAAGATAGATATTTGTTATACAATGTGAACTCTAAATTCAACCAGGTACAAATTTTGTCTGATGTTCAAACCAAAGAAATAATGATGTATTCTAACAGTGGAAGAAAAATGCCAGAGTAGCAGTTGCTAATTGACATTAATTGATATCTATCTCCATGGTGGCCCCTTAACCAAGATGATTTGGGTTCTCATTTTAGAGCTTTATTTATGAGTAATACTCAAAATCACTGTGTATTTAAAAAAAAAATAAATTTCAGTGTTTCATGTGACCTTGCTTTGTAAGATTTTGAGAATAATTATTAGCAAAATGTCTTAATTTCTGGTAAATCAACCAAAAGAAATCTTGAATTATAAATTAGAAAACCAAAGCATAAGGTTAAAGATATTTTGAAAAGTAGTAAGATAAAATTAACACTTATATTAAAATGTATATTACAAATTAGTATTTGTAGTACATAGCCTATTTACCTCTCTGAAATTTATAATTATTTATATTAAGTGATTCTCTGGGAGCAAGAAGATTATATATCATCTCTTTTATATATTTTTAGACTTTTTCTTTTAATAACTTTGTGTGATATATGAGATAAAAAATAAATTATGATGTAAATCAAGAGCTTTAATTTTATATAATTTATTTTTACTGAGAAAAAAGATTGCTACCTTATCCTTAGTGAATTCCTTTGTTTTATTTAAAAAAAAAACAAAAAAAACATATTTTGACCTTTTACCTAGTTTTCTGAAATAAAATAACAAACTATTTCTAGATTGGCTCTTTTCAATATTTTTATACATTTTATTAAAGTATTTTTATCCAAAACCGGTTTGGCTCAGTAGATAGAGTGTCGGTCTGTGGACTGAAAGATCCCGGGTTTGATTCCGGTCAAGGACATGTACCTCGGTTGTGGGCACATCCTCAGTGGAGGGTGTGCCAGAGGCAGCTGATTGATGTTTCTCTCTCATTTATGTTTCTGTCTATCCCTCTCCCTTCCTCTTTGTAAAAAATCAATAAAATATATTAAAAATAATAATAATAAAGTATTTTTAGAAAGTATATTAATAAAAAGTGAAGTACAGTATAGGGTCAAGTTGAGATAACCAATGGAAGGCTGATGTGAATGTGGTATCAATATGATTTTAAGAGCTAAGTAAAAATAAGAGATTAAAAGTGTTAATCCATTAGTGTGACTCTTTTATTTTCCATATACTTCATAGTTTGGATTTTGAACTGTTCTGATGTGGCATAAGTATAACCTTAGATAATTCATGCCAGCCTTTCCTTCAGAGAGAAACAGTATTTACCTGGTAAAATGTGTTTGAACTTTGCTATTTTTTTCTCTGGGCCTTTATTGGAACAACTGAAGGTTCAAGTTGAAAATTATAACTGAAATTTTAAAAATTCACTATAGGACCTCAACAGCAGATTTGTGAAGACAGGAAAAAGAATCAGTAAACTTGAAGGTAGATCACTGAGACTGTCTAGTCTGAGGAACAGAATGAAAAAGTAATGGAAAAAAATACATAATAGAAGGAAGAAGAAGAAAGGGGTCAAAAGAATATTTGCAGAAATATTGGCAGAAAACTTTACAAATTATATTTTAAAAAATTAATATATATATTCAAAAAGTTCACCATACTCTAAGTAGAATAACTCAAAGAGATACACAGATACATATCATAAGCTATCAAAAATCGAAGAATAAGAGGGAATCTTGAAAACGAGAGAGTTAACCATCATGTATGATTCTCAATAAGATTAACACCTGATTTACCATAAAAAATAAGGGAGCCCAGAAGGCATTGGATGATACATTCAAAATGTTTGAAAAACAAAACTGTTAACTTAGAATTCTAAATCTAGTAAAACTGCCTATGAAATTATAGGTGAAATCAAGACATTCCTAGATAAAAACTATCATACCTTCTCTATTTGAATGTTGAAGGGAGTCCTTGAGGCTGAAATGAATGGCTATTAGACAATAACTAGAATAAACAAAACAAAGAATGGTAAGGGAACAGAAGACTTCAGTGACATGTAAAATATCCAGAACTACTAGTAATAGATATCTGTAGAACACTCTGCCCAACAATAGCCGAGTACGCATTCTTCTCATGTACACATGCTACATTCTCCAAGATAGATCATATTAGGCCACAATCTAATTCTCGATAAAATTTAAATATTAAAATTATACCACATATCTTCTACTACGATGTCATGAAATGAGAGATCAATAGCAAAGAGAAAATGTGAGAATGCATAAATGTATGGAAATTAAGACACTTAAATAGCTAGTGGGTCAAAGAGGAAATCACAAAGGAAGTAGAGAATACTTTGAGATGAATGAAAGCTTGGTGTGAAACAACATACCAGTTCTTGTAGGATGCAGCAAAACACAGCGCTCAGAAGGAAATGTGTAGCCTACATTAAAGAAAAATAAGTTAACATAATCTTACACCCTAAAAAACTAGAGAAGAGAAAAAGAAGCAGAAAGAAGAAAGGAATAATAAAATTATAACAGACATAGAGAAAATATAGAGTGGAAAAATATTTTATCAAGTGGATGGGCTCACAGTTGTGCAACACATGTGGAGATGTGCTTGAATACAGATGTTTTAACACATCTATATAAAAAGAGATGTTTAAATTTTTTTTTCTTACCACAGCCTATTGAGAAGAGGGTTATTTTTGAGATTGTATAGCCTGGACTGATCATTATGTCATGCATACAGACAAGTGTCTAAAGACACATGTAAGACGATGTTTCTAGGAGTTCTTCCTTCTCGGTCATTTTGAGAATAATGTTATTTCAGTTATTGAGTGTTCTTACCTTTAAGTATTGCATGTAGAAAGTTGTTTAAATATATATGTAAAAATATAGAATAGGAAAGTATTTTTTTAAAGATTTAAAAAATTGACTATCCTTTTGCTAGACTAACCAAGAAAATCATAGAAGACTCAAATTATTAAAATCTGGTGTGAAAGAGGAGAGATTACTCTGAAAACACATAGGATAACAGAATTATACATAATTATGTCAACAATTAAATGATTCAGATAAAATGAACAAATACCTATAAAAACACAAACTAGACTGACTCAAGAAGAAATAGAGACTCTAAATTATAGCAAAGAGATTCAATCAATAATCTATACACTTTGAACAACAAGTAGCTCAGGATCAGATGGCTCCACTGGTGAATTCTGCAAAATGATTAAAGAATTCATAATATTAATCCTTAGCAAATCTTCTAATATTAAGTCTTTCAATCAACAATGTAATATCTTTCCATTTATTTATTCACCTCTAACTTCTTTCAACAGTGTTTTATAAGTTTCAGTGGATAAGTATTCCACTTCCTTGCTTAAATCTATTCCTAACTATTTTATTGTTTGTGGTGTTACAGTAAATGGAATTGTTTTGTTAATAAGCCCACATAGCTATTGTCAGTTGATTTTTCACAAGGCTGCCAAGACTATTAATGGGGGTTGGGGGAGAAATAGTCATTTTAGCAAATGGCACTAAAACAACTGGAAATTCACAAGCAAAAGATTCAAGTTGCCACCTGACTAGCATGGCTCAGTGATTGAGCATTGACCTATTATTAACCAGAAGGCCACTCTTCAATTTCTGTCAAGGCACATGCCTGGGTTTTGGGTTCGGTCCTCAGTGGGGGGCATGCAGGAGGCAGCCGATCAATAGTGTTCTCTCATCTTTGATCTTTCTCTCTCTGCCTCTCTCTTCTTCTCTGAAATCAGTAGAATTACATTTCAAAAAATAATTCAAATTGGACCCATATGTCATACTTGTATACAAAAATTAAAATAGATAAAGGATTTAAATATAAGTTTTTATAAAAAATATAAAACAGAAGGAAACAGATATAAATCTTTTGGTCTTGTGTTAGGCAATCAATTTTCATCTTTTAGGTAATACTAGAGTGCATGAAATTCATGCATGAAATTCATACATGGGGGTGGTGTCTCTCAGCCCGGCCTGCACCCTCTCCAACCTGGGACCCCTTGAGGAATGTTTGACTGCCCATTTAGGCCCAATCCCTGTCAGCCTAAACCAACAGTCATACATCTGTCTCACAATCTGGGACTGCTGACTCCTGACCGCTCACCTGCCTGCCTGCCTGCCTGATTGCCACTAACCACTCCTGCCTGCCAGCCTGATCACCCCCTAACCACTCCCCTACTGGCCTGATCTTGCTCCCAACTGCTCTTCCCTGCAGACCTGATCTCTCCCCTAATTGCCTTCCTCTGCCAGTCCGATGGCCCCCAACTGTCCTTTCCTGCAGACCTGGTTACACCCAACTGCCCTCCCCTGCCAACCATCTTGTGGCAGCCATCTTGTGATGACATCATCCAACGCCACCTAG